CCTTTGCTCTGCCGTGCCTCAGATGGAATGGCCGACACGGCAACCTGGAACGAGATGGACAGCAACAAGGGAAAGAAGATCAAAGCTGCCCGACACTGATGAAGAAGAGGCTGGCTGAGGTCACAGACCATCAGTCAATCATTGCTGGAGCCCAGCGAGGTGGAATTGGAAGCTAAGATAGCCGGCTAGACAGTGAGGAGCAGAGGTGGACAAGCGAAGGAAGGACCACCTGCCCCCCAGATGCGGTCCTTCCACCAAAAGCCCAGCATTTCCATTTCCGATGGAATCGTGAAGTCAAGGCAAGCACCGCCGGGAAGGTACCTGGCGACCGGCACCGCCTGCCCGGCGCAGATATCGTGATGATCGGAGGAGGAAGGATGAACCAGGCAGGAGAGAGAAGGTATATGCTTTACCCAGCCAAAATGGCGTGCATCGTCACGTACCTATCCCGTCTTTTACGGAGTATTTCCATTCGAAAGGTGATGCCCAAGGGACGGGGACTCGTTCGGTAGCACCATCCTCAGGTAAGAAGGTACCTTTGGTGCTTGGCTCCGGCCTCTTAAGCGACCGGGACAACAATGACGGGACGCTACCGTACCCTGCCTGGGCTGGCCTGACCAAGTACCCGCCCGCCTCAGAGGGAATAAAAAATAAAAAAAGGAAAAAAAGAGCCCAGCCCAGCCCGGACCACCTCACCCACTCCGTGTGTGGTGTCCCTGTCCCGTCCACCTCTCTCACCCATTCAGTGCAGTGCGAGGTTGCTCCTCAGTGGTCCCCCCCCCCCCCCCCGTCCCAGGTCCGCCGCCCGCTGCCCGCCGCCAGCCCTCCTGCCTTTTTTCGCCTCCACTTTGGGCTCCCATCCAGTCCCATTAAGGTACCCTTTTCCCTCCCCTTCTCCCTCTCCTCTCTGAACTCTCTTCCTCCTTCACCCCACGATCTCTTCTCGAGCCCTTGATTGCAAAGGCCGCAAATTACCAACATCTCGACCTGTCCACCCCATTAGGACACGGCTTTCGTTGGAGAGGCTCCTACTCGAACAATCGTCTACCACGAAATCCCTCTCCCGACTCGAGCTTCACCGCCAGTCCGATCCGAACTCCTCGTCTTCTCCGTCTCGACAGCACATACTCCCACCCGTTGGCCTCTTTCGTCACAGGTACCTCCCACCACCGAGCTCTTCCGTCTACATACATATCAAGCCATCACCGCTTCCGAACACCCAAACAATCCCACCAGCAATCAACTGGTAAGCCATTCTCATTCCCATGTTTGCTGCGTCGTTTGCCTCGAACGCATCACCGATAATGAATCCGTTCTCGGACTTGTCTTTCTGGTTGAAGCAGCGGCCACCCTCCGCCTGGCCTGGCCTGCCTGCCTGTTCTAGCCTCGGGTTTACCGCCCGTAGTTGGCGGCGGCTCCGCTTTGCCTTGTTCAACCCTTCTCTGTTCCAGGCCTCCACTCTGCAACTCAACATTCCCTACCTTCTTCTCCATCAGCCTAACGTCACACCTCCAAGAATTTTTATTCTCTCTTCATGCATCAACGCTGACACCTTTACCTCTAGTTCACACAGCTTTGTCGCTGGATACCGATCTCACTAGTCAATCGACACCCAAACCCACCTTTTTAATTGCTTCCTTCCTCTGGAAAGAAGCCTCTATTTCTTATCAGCCAAGATGACCACCATGGTAAGTCGACACTCATCAGGCTGCAGAATCAGAGGTCTCGGGGCATTCTGGCTAGACGTCCTGTCGGGTAGCCCCGTCTTGCGGCGTCTCCTTGAAGAACCCCTACGCACCCTCTGCAATTTTCCCGGGCTTCGTGACTGATTCGTCTTCAGGATCTCCGCGTCGGTAACAAGTACCGTATCGGCCGCAAGATTGGTTCCGGTTCGTTCGGTGACATTTACCTCGGCACCAACATCATCTCCGGAGAGGAGATCGCCATCAAGCTCGAGAGCGTCAAGGCCAAGCACCCCCAGCTCGAGTATGAGGCCAGAGTCTACAAGTCCCTCGCTGGCGGTGTTGGCATCCCCTTCGTCCGCTGGTTCGGTACCGAGTGTGACTACAACGCCATGGTCCTCGACCTCCTTGGCCCCAGTCTGGAGGACCTGTTCAACTTCTGCAACAGAAAGTTCTCTCTCAAGACCGTCCTCTTGCTCGCCGACCAGTTGATTTCTCGAATCGAGTACATCCACGCCAAGTCCTTCATTCACCGTGATATCAAGCCCGACAACTTCCTCATGGGCATTGGCAAGCGTGGAAACCAGGTCAACGTCATCGACTTCGGTCTGGCCAAGAAGTACCGCGACCCCAAGACGCACTTCCACATCCCTTACAGGGAGAACAAGAACCTTACCGGAACCGCCCGTTACGCTTCCATCAACACCCACTTGGGTGTCGGTACGTTTTCACGTCCTGCAAAACCGCAACTTTTTTGACTTTGGCTAACGATGCATCAGAACAATCCCGCCGCGATGACATGGAGTCTTTGGGCTACGTCATGCTGTACTTCTGCCGTGGATCTCTGCCCTGGCAGGGACTGAAGGCTGCCACCAAGAAGCAGAAGTACGATAGAATCATGGAGAAGAAGATGACCACCCCCACCGAGGTCCTCTGCCGTGGCTTCCCCAACGAGTTTGCCATCTACCTCAACTACACCCGCTCCCTCCGATTCGACGACAAGCCCGACTACAGCTACCTCCGCAAGATCTTCCGTGATCTGTTCGTCCGCGAGGGCTTTCAGTACGACTACGTGTTCGACTGGACCGTCTACAAGTACCAGAAGAACGCCCAGGCCATCGCTCAGGCTGCTGGAGCCACCCAGGAGGAGGATGAGAAGGCTCGCGCTTCTCGCACCAACGCCGCTACTGCCGGTAAGTAAATCGTCATTGACCTTGCTTGAACTTATCTGACAATCTGCACAGGCCGTGCCGCGAAGTGATTGAACCAGGGTCTGGCCCTGATGTTAACATTCCGGATACCAAGCGTGCCGTCGGCGGAAGCGACTGGATGTAACGATGTTTTAGTGTGCGTTCGGCCTCGAAAAGCGCACCGTATGGTTTGAAATCTCGCCTGTCGAGATGTACATGGACAACGACAGCTATACACATCGACTCGTCTTCTGGGAGCATGGTTTGACCGGCTTACTGGTTTCATTCCTTCCGTGGCATGGCTGTCAAGCATCACGATTGGTACTGGTTCTGCTCATCACCAGGGTCTGTCAGATGATACGCCTTGCCATGCGATTCGGTCGCACCTCCCGTCTTTTCTTACGCATTCTCAAATTCGTTCTTCGACATGTCTGGGTTGTTTTTCTCTACATGGCTCGGTTCTTCATGACGAGGCAACCGTTTCCGAAACGTCTGGCATTCTGCCGGATCTCGGGGATTGGTGTCTATAGCAGGAAGAACTTGAACGGCACGTCCAGTACCTCGCTTTCTGAGGTGCTGTCGTCGGGTCGTTCCGCGAGACATTCCCACACCACTCTGAGTGCTTCGGTCCTAGATCTTGCACCTGGTCGATGCGTTGGAGTTGCGTTTCACCGGCGGATTTCCTTGGTCAATTTCCTTCTTTTCCTTTTCTTCTCTCTAGTGGTCACGCGCGCTACGACTTGCTTTTTATTCGATGGCTTCGCACATTGTCAATCACGCGTCGAGGCCCGCTTCTGGGGATGTATCAAGGGGAAGGGGACGACATTGCGAAGGGCCGGTGGCTGTGGACGGTGTCGAGACAACACGAACGACGTACGAGTCGCAATCGACATGTCAACAGTGCGACGCGAGAAAACCTAATGGGGAGACTGAAATCGTTTTTCCTTGACTTTCCTTTTGATTTGGTTGGTTGGGGACTCGGCCTTTGACACCTGCTCGCGGGATGTGTGGGAACGATGGCGATGCCGCGTTCTCATGCACAGCAACTATCAAAAGCTCTTGGAGGCAGCTCAGCACAGTCTTCGATGGCTCACTACCTTCAGATGACCGTTCTTTCGCAGGTCATGCAAGGTGTGTGGGCTCCCGTAGACAATGGCGCTGGGACTCTTCATACTGCGCCTCCATCACCTGTAGACCTGAATGGTTTGACAAGCTCATCAGTTGGTGGAGGCGGGGCACGGGTAGTTGTGGCAGGTCAGCAAGATGCGATGGAACCAACCAATACACGGCACGGTAGCTTCTCAATTTACAAATTGTCGCGCGATTTTTGAATATTCCTCTGCTGTGTGATATTGGGGCGGTGTATGCATGTTGAGGTATTAACGGCGGTGATCTCATGCAACTAGGACTTTGCTCTGCAAGGGTAAGCAGGCTCATTCATATAATCAGTGCTCGAGTGTATGAGCCCACGGCATCTAGTTGGCTGCTACCAACTTCGTATTTTCTGCTCGGGGCGAAGTAAAGTAGGACTCGGTCCTTGACCCCGCTCTGGAGAAGACGCTATGTACGGGACGCGGAGAAGATGAAGTCTAGATCTGGCGAGTAGATAGCTTGGTGGACACTAGAGCGGTCAGGTCAGCAAGGAGGCTGTACAGGTCAAGGTCAGGTGCAGCCTCGCTTGACGCCTGTTGCCGCATCTGACTCAACAGAAGCAGGAGAAGTTACGGAAAAAAGACAGTACCTGGCTCATAAGGAGCGCTGAAGTAAGTGTCGACCGAAAACCTTGCATCCGAAGCTAGGACTGTTCAGCAAAACAACAACCCAAGCTTCATCATCGTCACCATTATCGAACCAACATCCAGAAACAGGTTGGGTGCAGTGTGGCTGTACAGAGCATCTCGGGCACTTTTACCTCCACTTAGTGGCAAGCTACGTAGGCGACTTCAGCACCATTCAAGCTTACTCTCCAGCAGCTTCATTGGATAAAAGCCAGCGCGGCCCAGCCAAGGTCCAGGATCTCTGCGCCAACTACAATCCCGCCGACCCGCCAACGACAGACAGCCCAGAGCATTTGGAGAACACCCGTCCCGCCGTCAACCGTGATCGGCGTTTTCATCCTCCGACACAGATGGCCACCCTTGTCGACGACGTCAACTCCACCTCAACCGCCGTCAAGATGGCGCCCTCTACGCTCGACCTGTTCATGTTGACGTTCAATGCCGCCAAGAACTTTATCAATGTTGCCGTTTTTGCGTCCCATCTGCACACAGCTTTCCAGCAGAATGGAACGGCTCTCCCTGACCTCGTCGTCTTGTGAGTTGCATGCCCTCGTGACCACCCGATTTCGCCCAATGCTGGGCTCGCAAAGGCATGATGAAGAGCTAACAGACAACGTTTTACAGCTCTCTGCAGGAGTTTGCTCCGATGTCATATTCCTTCATCGGCGGCTACTTCTTGAGTCCGTACTTCGCCCGATACGAGGAGGCCCTGAACATTGCTGCCACCAGATACACCTCCTCAGGCGCCAGCGCTTCCTCCGACGACGACACGATCACGGTGCAGCCTACAGCGGCGCCACTAGTGCGACCATACACTCTTATTCGCTCTCGCAATGTCGGTATGACCGGCATCATGCTCTTTGCACGCAACCCCGAGTCGATTCTGCGCGTGGAGGAGGCCGAGGTCGGGTTTGGTGCTGCGGAGATGGGCAACAAGGGCGCCGTGGCGCTGCGCGTGTTGTACGAAGGCAAGGCCGCAGATGGCGGGAAGAAGACGACAGAGCTCACATTCGTGGCTACGCATCTTGCTGCCATGGAGTGGAATCTGCCCAGGAGAAATGCCAACTGGGCGGCCATCATGCGTAGCATGACGTTTGAGAACCCCGATAATATTCTTAGCCCGAAAAAGCACGCCCTCAGCGCGGCTGGAGACGGCCAGGCAGATGGTGCAGACGGGGAAGGTGTGCATCTTCTGCACGACGATCACCACGAGCAGAGCTTGGCCCTTCAGCAACGCCTGCAGGACATTTCTGTCTTCAAGCCGACCTCCCACCTGTTTGTCGGCGGCGATCTCAACTACCGAATCTCTACCACCAGCCCACCACCAATGGCGACGTTCCCGAGTCTCGACCCGGAGAGCGAACACTTCTATTCTCACTTCTTCCCCCTGGACCAGCTGACGCGAGAGCGACTGGCTGGCAGGACGCTGCACGGCATGAGCGAGGCCGAGGTCAAGTTTCCTCCAACCTACAAGTACGAAGTCCTCCCCGTGGACGACACACGCCTCAAGGTCGACGGCGTCGAAGACGTGCCGTGGTTCTTTGCCCCCCACCGCTACCCCAGCTGGACAGACCGTATCCTGTTCCTTGAAGTCCCCGGATGGGCCAAGGAGAAGTCAAAGATCGATGTCAAGACGTACGAGGCGATGCCCGTCGTCCGCAGCTCAGACCACAGAGCCGTGTACCTCAGGGCAGCAGTGCCGTTGCTGACCGAGGACGAGCTGGCTCCGACTGGCGCGGTACAGGCGAGCGGTACTTCGGACCCTCGGCTTGTGTTGCCAGTGGCGATTGATCCTGAGGCCTGGGAGCGGCGAGCGGCGGCGAGAAGGAAGGAGGTTCTCGCCGGCTGGAGCATGTTCTTGTGGTCTACCAAGGAGGGCGCGCTGGTGCTCGCGACGCTGCTTGCCGTGGGCGCCGGTGCTTGGTGGTTTAGCCAGTGAGGGCGGTTTGATACCCTGTTGATGAGTTTTTGCTTGTTTTTACTTTTTCTACACACAGATACACGACGGAAGAAGTCGCACGATATGAGATGAGAGGGGGCTGGTTAGGAGAAGAAGGAGCATTGTAAAGGCGCGACGATGCATTGATACAAGCACGAGCATGAATATAGCAATTGAGTTTATGTTGAGATCGCACAACAGTGTGGAGTACTGATTAAGTTGAAGCTCTGTCCATATCTTGCTCCAGTGACCATATGTGCCTCGTGCAGACTGTATCTATTTCAAAGCCATAGCGGACCAGGTCTTGCGAAGTGACCGCCTAGTCTTGCTGTATTGCACGGCTATGTTTCCTAGACATGTACTCAACTACTTGTTTCACGGACGATAAAAACGACGACGACGGCAGTAGTAAAGGAGAGTAAGGTATACAACTATAGGAAAAGTAGTCGCTCTAGCACGGGAAAAACAGATGGTCTCTTTGCAAAGAACGTTCTTTGGCTTGAATTGTTGAGAGTTCCGTTCTCACGCGGGATGGCCTATGGTTACCGTGCTCTCGTCGAATGATTTTCCGCAACTTGTGTCGGAACAAACCATCACATTGGTCATAATACGAAGTCACCTACACCTCAACTCCACTACGGAGTGAGGCCAGTCGAGAGTTTCGGTAAGCAGACCCAAAAGTGTAGTGAGCTACCGGCAAGGAAAACCATCGCATTCGTTTTGTGGATCACCGGGTGAAGAAAGCTATGTTAATGAACTTTCGTAACCCGCCCACGGACCAGGTTGATTGAAGCTATCGATTGGGAATAGAACGTGGGCGCAATAACATGGCAGCTCCAGTCACGAGGACACCTGCTCCCCAGCTCGTATAAGCCGGGTAAACAGCGGCAGTGGCATATCCGGATGACACGGGTGGCGAGTCAAAATTCCGTTTCTGAGAGTGAGAGAGTCGTCGTGTCGTTCTTTTTTCGTCGCGCATTATACCACGTCATGTATGGTTCTCCCAGGCTACCGGGTGCGATGGGCGCAGGGATAGGTCGCGTGCGCATTACTGCCCATCCCTGTAATGTAATAACCTTGCTGCTGAGAAGAGTGAGCTGTGTTCGTATCGCACATCAAGCCTAGGTAGTTGGTTCTCTACAGACAGAGGCGAATAGGGGGACCTGGACCCCGAGTCCCGAGTTGCTCGAATCCGGCCGGCAGTACTGCTGCAAAGAGTTCTTGACCCGGTTAGCGGTGCCCGAAGTCCACACGGGTACCCGAGCGGTCTGATAACCGCGCGTCTCGGCGGGAGGAAAATATTTGTTGCAAACTTGTTGCACACAGACTGGTTGCTGGCTTGGCATCTCGTAACCTGTGACGGGATCTGGATCAACGACCACGAGTCGAGGTGTGCGGGCTTTGAGGCCGATCTTGAATCGGAGGATTGTAGCCCGAACAGACCTAGGTCTTTTTCCTTTGAAAAATTTCTTGGTAAAAAGACATTTTGCCGCAAGGCGACACGGCAGTTGAGCAGGGCCCTTGTTGTATCTTTACAGCACAGCCATGGCTCATCTGCGCGGCATAAGCCTCAACTTGAGTAAGGCGTAAGGCGTTGGTAAATCCGAAAATTGTCCGGAAGGCCGTAAAAGTCGTAAAAGCAAGCCACCTGGGCATCAAAGAATTTTCGAAACGTCCAAGGCCCGCATGGCTGAAGAGACAAGGACAAGGCCGTCTTAGTCATTAACCCGCGATCCTCGGGAATGAGGTATGGGGACGCTGCCGCTCTCAATATGTTGTCGAGTATCCGTCCCGAAGCTTGATCCAATCGAGTTGCATGCTGAATGGGGGCTGCAAAAATTGCAACCTGGGCAGCCGGGAACCGACCGACTGACTGCTGGCCGGGGACTGTGAAAAGTGCTGGAAGGATATACTTCCGTCTGCATGTGCTCTCTGGACGGATTACAAACGGTTCGTTGGGGGCTGAAGTGACATAAGACCTCGCCGCAATCAGGCATGGGCGCGACACATGCGGTTCAGAGGCCGAGCTGAGCTGACGAAATTCCCTTGTTCTTACTGGGAGAAGAAACACTGCGTGCTGACATGGCAAGCCAGCCATGAAGAAAAAAAAATTCCTTGTTAAGGTGTAAATTTAGACTCAGCCATGACGAGAAATCGACGAAAGAAAATCATGAGCAAATATCGGATTTCGTCCTGCTCCCGGGAATAGGAATTTCCAGACGGCACGCAGGCGGCTCGATTTGCGAGTCGGGAAAAGCATGTTCTGGTAGGTTAATAAAGCAGTCAGCGGGATGGGATGAGGTGGGATAGGAGGATTGGCAGTGGGCACGAGAGGTGGGATGAGTTGGGGGGATCGGGCGTGGAGGTCGATGTGTTGCGTCATAGGCGTCGATAAGAGTCGCTTGCATGCAAGGCGTGTCAGGCCTCTGGGCTCTTTTCGCGTGTCCTTGGGTGCCTCCCCCGCGGGACGGATTCGATGCCGCCGCACGGAATGCAGAAGATCTGGCTGGCTGTCTGACTGATGGGCGCCCTGTGTGAAAGTAAAATCCAATGTCTTGCCGTCAAAGAATGTTGGATCGTAACGGTTGATTCAACTGCAACGCCTCGTTACTTGTAGCGTGTTTCCGACTTTGCGCAGTCAAAGTCGAGTTTCTTCCCGTCTAACCTTTATGGCCACCTAGGAGAGATCGGGGACCCGAGGTTCCGGGACCAACGTCGAGCCACATTTTCCGCCCTTTTCCTTTCGCAGGGCGGATGAACAGGTTTTGGCTGTTGAAGAAGGGAACACACCGCTGCAGCAGAGTGAGACCCCCGATACGCTACTCGCCGTAAGGCAGTGCGCTATCCGAAGGAGGGAGAGGCGGTAAGACGGCGAGAGCAGCTGAGGCGAGGCGACGTTATGTTGCAATAACGGAGCTTGGAAGAGATGACGGAACGCTCGTTTTGGTTTTCGGTTTCGGGGCAGCTGGAAATTGCTGACAGTCCTTGCGCGCATCAGGGTTTCGGAGATTTCTTCAAAAGTGGGAAGATGCTGCGGATAGAAACGAAATGGACGGCGGAAAGAAGGCAGTCTAGGCCTATGTGCATTGTAACCTAGGTAGGTAGTTGGCAGGGGTTTCTAGTGGCGGATTCTTTTTGTATTTCGTGCCTCTCAGCTCGTTAGAGAATGGCGGGGAGACCGTAGGAGGGTGAGACTCGAAATTCAATTGCAGTGCGATGGACAAAGCAGTAATGCCTAGCTGGTCGGTGCTGTTGACGAACGTTGCAGAATGAGGGAGCTGAGTGCTGGTCTGGTCTGGTCTGGGTGTCCGTACGTATCGACAACCGTCGAAGACGAAGAAGAAAAAGGGGCAGGGGCGCCATGTGGGGAGATGTTGACGGACAGCCTCTGTGGGACCGTGGCTGAAGAGCAGGATCCACTTGGGGTGTCCACGTCAGGTCGACGTCCAGTGCTGAGTCCACAAGTGCAGTCACGTCGTGGTCTTGCCGAGTTCCAGCTGAAGCGCCTGCGGTCGAATGTCACCACGCTGCACCGTCGCAGAAACCGCGGCTTGCCAGTTGGGCAGTTGCCCCGGATTCACACCGGACGGCGCATAACGCTAGCCCGATCTGGTGGTTTCTTGTCGGCGAGACCGCGGGTCGATACCTAGGTAGACGCCGCACCCGCGGCAATAGCCCACCTGCAGGAAGAAGGAAGCAGGAGGAAAAGGAGGAGGAGGAGGAGGAGCGTAGGTCAAATAGGTACCCCAGGTAGTCAGCAGCACCGTTTGCTGAGGCGGGTGATGGTGGTCTGTGGTGTGGCAGTTACCTTAATGTATGGCAGTTGATGTGGAAGTTACTTACTGCGTATCTACCTACCTTAAAAAGGTACTTACGTTTAGGTGCGAGTCGCAAAGCGGAAGGCGGGACCGGGACGGTGCAGACGGAGCAGCCAGGTGCAAATGAGCATCACACTCATCACAGGGCACTGGAAAGGCATCCACCCTCTTGGGAAGGGGCCCCCCGTGTTGTCGGGTGCGAAAAAGCGTGGGAAGGAGCCCTTCACACGCCTCGCCTGCCCCTCCCCTCCTGGTCAGTCCTGGTCAGCCCCATAAATGCTCCTACCGTAAGTAGCTGTCTGGTCTGCTGGCTTTCGTCATTGCCACGGCCCTTTCATCTGAAGGTTTCCCCGTCGACTCCCTGAAAGCGAGAAAGCCCAGAGGTGCCAGGTGAAAGGAAAGGTCCAGCTCACAGTCCAAGACCGCCTCTTCTTTCCCACCGCTCGACCCAAAAGAAGATACACACCCCGATATCACACATATCCAACCCAATACTCCATACTTTACATACAAAGTACACACGACCGACCCGCGGCCCAATCTGTCAGACCTCCCGCCCCGTTCCCCGAACCACTCTTCGAATCCCCAGACGACTCTCGATCCGAACCGATCCCCTTTCCACCCAACCAGCCCTTCCAATTGACCACTGACGACACGAAACGGACACACCTCCCATATCTCTGTTCCTGCCTACCTACCTCCCTACTTACTTACCTACTTACCTCGCTTTCTCTTCCTCCCTCTTCGCACGACTCCACGGCTTACTTCGCCTTCTATCAACACACCCGCCACTCTTCGTCCCATTTCCTCCAACGGCCAGCTCCCCGGGCCGTAATGGACGCCGCGCTGTGATTCCGAAAGAAGAAAGCAAGCAATCACTCTCTCAGTCAGCCCTTAGACACCCCTGACCCTTTATGACTGGGATTTCGGCGATCAACAAGAAAATACATAAAATGGCGGCAACAGTAGCGCACGCGAATCCCCTGCCTAATCAGGTTGGAGGAGGACTTTCCAAGATGATGGGCGGTAATGGACACAGTCAGGCGCAGCAGCAGCATGCTGATGCTGGAGTTGGTCCCATTGCGAATCGCAAGTTGACTCCTCAAGACTTCCGTGTGGTGAGGACGCTCGGCACAGGTGCGTTTGCTAGTCTTTCATTCTCCACGTAGCCATGTCTCGGGAGCCCGTTTACTGACGATTTGCGCCCTCGTAGGTACCTTCGCCCGTGTTTGTCTCGTGCGGCCAGCGAATGCGACAGAGGAGGAGCGCGACACAGTGTTTGCGCTCAAAATTTTGAGGAAAACCGAAGTCATCAAGCTGAAGCAGATTGATCACGTCCGACACGAGCGTTTGATCCTCGGCGACGTCGCTGGCCACCCCTTTATTACCAACCTCATCACCTCCTTTTCCGACCGCGACCATCTTTACATGCTCCTAGACTACGTTCCTGGTGGCGAGCTGTTCAGTTACTTGCGCAAGTTCAGGCGGTTTGAGGAGCAGACGGCGCGCTTCTACGCTGCAGAAATCGTCCTTGTGCTTGAGTACCTCCACGAGCAACAAGGGCGAGTCGCATACCGTGATCTCAAGCCGGAGAACCTCCTACTGGACCAGGATGGTCACATCAAGCTGGTCGACTTTGGTTTCGCAAAGAGGTTAAGCAACAGTGCTGGACAGCCAACCGAGACATACACGCTCTGCGGCACCCCCGAGTACCTCGCGCCGGAAGTGATCCATAACAAGGGCCACACGACAGCGGTGGACTGGTGGGCGCTAGGTATCCTGATATATGAGTTCCTGACGGGTTACCCTCCGTTCTGGCACCAGAACCCAATCGAGATTTACAAGCAGTAAGCCACCATGTACCGATCAGCAATATGGATTGGGAATGTTTATTGCAGTTGCTGACAGATTCTGCAGAATCGTTGAAAAACCGGTCATGTTCCCGCACGATCCGCCAGTATCTCCCGAAGCACAAGATCTCATCAGAGCCTTCTGCACCGTAGATCGGTCACGAAGACTGGGCAACATCAGCGGAGGAGCCGCCAAGGTCAAAGAGCATCCCTTCTTCCGTGGAGTCAACTGGGATGATCTGTACCATCGGAGGGTCCGTGGTCCCATCATTCCGCCGATTCGATATCCAGGCGACGCGCAATGTTTCGACATTTATCCCGAAGATGACGGCAAGCGGGAAACGTACACGGAAGACATGGTCCAGAAGTACGATCAGTACTTCAAGGACTTCTGATGGCAGTCCGCTGTGACGAGTCGTACAAACTCATATGCCGGGAGTCTATGTTTTTGTTGAATTTCCACATTTCATTTCGTTGCACGGCCATTTATGATACTCCACCTTGTAAGAATGTACCGGACGCACTTGTGACGCGCAGCGAAGACGAGGACGATGCATAGCCCATTTCAGGACAGCATGGATTTTTGATGGGGGAAGGCTTTCAGGCTTCAGGAAAGGGGAAGAGGCGCGAAAGGACACAGGGGGAACTTTTGCTGGTCAAGCCCTGGATAAGCACTATTGGATTCTGTTTTTGGAGTTACAACGGCGTTAGCATTGTTGTCTACCTGCGAGGCGGCGAGGTAGCTGGGTTCGAGGGTCGAGGAGAGACTCTTAGTTGTTAACGAAAGAGATGGGATGGAAAGACCATGAATAGACAGACGTACGCAATGCGATGTGCCCCATCTGCAGATATTGTCTCCGGTTGACAGAGCAGTGTATTCGCAGTTTATTCGCAGTGTTCTGTATGCTCGTGCCATTATGCACTACATTGTGTACGACCCAACAGCTCGGCGCATTCAACGGGTCGCCAGAGCATCCCGTGAACAATTCGACCGTCGATGTGACAGCACGGGGCGGGTGTCTCAGCGCTTGGGGGCTAGCCAAGACGGGGATGGCACTCGGCATGGGTATCTCTGGTGATGGCGGCGCGCTCACGTCACCTGGACTAGGCAATGCATTCTCCCCTGCGTTGGTGGGGTTGATGGCGATAGGGGTTAGGGTCTGGGGCTCTATGTAATGCGCGAGGCAGTCATGAAAGGGAGGAAGGCACGGCTGCGTTTGCGTTTGTAAGGGGCCTCGAGGATAGACCAGGAGACATGATATCATAGCACAGGCAGGTACCTGATGTGTATCAGCAGGGTCAGGTACGTCTTGGGCTACCTACAGAACTGTCATCTGGGTAAAGGGGGTTTATCCGGTTCATCCAGAGATATCTGTACCTGCCTTACCAACGTCTCTCTACCTTACCATACGGCATGACCTGCAGCAGCAAGGCAAGCTTACCTTACCTTAGCGACAAATGGGGTTATTGAGGGAGGGAGGTGGAGTGTCAAATGGCGTACCCGTACCTAAGAATGGCCAGCGGGATGTGCGGGTTACGGATAAGGTACTTTAAGGTGTAGAGGGGTTACCCCTCTGCAGGGGACTGCCGGACTGGGTGCCGCTCGCTGCATGTCCGCTGTGCCTTAGTCCTAGTGTCCAGCAGCAACTGAGGTGATCATGAGGAGATGCAGGGTGTTCGGACAATGTCAGACACCAACTGCAGGCAACCCGAAGGTGGTAGGGCAGAGTTGTCAAGGTTTCGCAACCTGAAATGCGTCCAGTGATGCTGGTGGTCGGAGAGCGCCTCATATTGTGAGGTAGGCTGGTAGCACCTATTAACGTGCCTTGTAAGGGTGAAGCAGCAGGTACGTACCGGGACCCTCAGAACGTAAGTGGCCTTGGCGGGAAACCTCCAACTATCCACTCCTCTGCATTCAGCTCCAGTCCCGGCTCACGCTCAGCACAGCTCTCTTACCTTCCCGTCACCCTATCCAATTGTCTGTCTACCGAACAACTTCCACCCCGCCGCCGAATAAAAGTATTGCGTCGCCTTCGAGCTGACTGACGCTCCGTCACATCGTGCTGCTCTTGCCGCGACCTCAGATATTGTTTGCTTCTTTACCGGCTAGAGTCTCGTTCTTCGTTCGGGACCTGCCCCTCAGGTCAGCAACCAGTCGGCCTCGCCTCGACACCACCATCCTGTTTCCATCCGGCGGGAACCGAGCCTCTTTCCATCGCCCTTCCGACGACAACCCCCCGACATGACAAGCTGAGTACAGCGGCTTCAGCATGTTGAACCTATCTAGCCTCGTGCAGAAGGCACAGCAGTTCATCGACCCGACCCAGGGGCTGAACCTCACCAACTCCGACAAGAATCCGTCCAAGGCATCGCTGTTCCAGAACCAGTTCCGCCTTTCCAGCACCCAGACCCCGCTGTACGAGATCAATGCCGAGTTGACCATCCCACCCGCCAATGCCGTCTACGGCGGCAAAGACCACGATCGAGGCTACCACTATGCCGGCAAGCTCCATCTCTCCGAGTCCTACATGTGCTTCTCCACCACGCCATCCAGCTTCGTCCAGTCGGCCAGCACCTCGACAAGCTCCGCCTTTACGGGTCAGACACACGGCGGAGGGCCAAGCGGAAATGGCTTCACCTTCCCCCTCTGCGCCATTCGGCGCGTCGAGAGGCTGAACAGCCAGACTTTCCAGGTGGGTTCTCTTTGACCCCAGATTCAGACAATGACAGCCGGCAGTCCGTGCTCTCCCCCGCAAGGACTCCCAACTGACACTTTACCTTCTAGTTTGCGTTGGCGATTACGACCTGGAATGGTATCTCTCAGCAAAAGGATAAAGAGTCCAAGGAAAAGGACAAGGACGCCGCCGATAAGGAGAAGAAGGACAACAGGGAGCAGAGGATCACGATACACCTTGCTGGCACCCGTCAAGGCTGCGAGCGCTTCTGCGATGGCCTGAAGAAGGGACTAAGGGCCGGCGTAGGCAACGTTTCCAAGTACAAAAAGGTCGTCAATGAGTGCTACTCCGAGTACCTCCTCCGCCCGGAAGACAAGAAGAACATGGGTCCCCCGGACGCCGGTCTGGGTATGATGTTCCGATACCCTGGGGATCCAAAGAAGCTGCGCGACCGAGCCAAGATGCGGTTATGGGCTGAATACCTACGCGACTATGGTCGGAACGTGACGCTGATCCGACAGCCCACCTTCCACAAGCTCATCCGCGTTGGTCTGCCAAACCGCCTGAGAGGTGAGACTTGGGAGTTGACTTCCGGATCGATATATCTCAGGCTGGAAAACCCCACGCTTTACCACGACACGTTGGCCAAGTACGAAGGTCAGGAGTCTCTCGCTATCGACGAGATCGAAAAGGACCTCAACCGAAGTCTTCCAGAATACCCCGGCTTCCAGAGCGAGGAAGGCATAGGTCGCCTCCGACGAGTCCTGACGGCCTACAGCTGGGTCAATCCTGATGTTGGCTACTGCCAAGCCATGAACATTGTTGTAGCGGCGCTGCTCATCTACATGTCGGAGACGCAGGCCTTTTTCTTGCTGTCTTCACTGTGCGACAGACTGGTTCCAGGGTACTACTCAACAACCATGTACGGCACGCTTCTGGATCAGAAGGTCTTTGAGTCGCTCGTGGAGAAGACGATGCCGATCTTATGGGAACACCTGGTCAAGAGCGATGTGCAGCTTTCCGTCGTCTCGTTACCGTGGTTCCTGTCGCTTTACGTCAACTCCATGCCTCTGGTCTTCGCTTTCCGAGTTTTGGATGTCTTCTTCGTCGAGGGCCCCAAGGTCTTGTTCCAAATAGGTTTGGCAATTTTGAGGATCAACGGCGAGGAACTCTTGGATGCGGCTGATGACGGCGCCTTCATTTCGATCCTCAAGACATACTTCGCACGTCTCGATGAGTCGGCGCATCCCAAATCTGAGAATCCCAAGCTGCGCGCTGTCACAAAGTTCCAAGAGCTGATGGTGGTGGCATTCAAGGAGTTCTCTGGCATCACTCACAGCAGCATAACCGATTTGCGCTTAAAGAACAAGGACGCCGTTCTCAGCAATATCGAGAGTTTTGCGAAGAGAACGGCGATCCGAAACTTGGGCCCCGACAGCAAGCTTCTTGCCCCTGAGGAGTTGAGTGCGTTATACGACCGTTTTTATACCATTCTATACGAGAGACAACAGCGAGAAAGCATCATCCAGCAAGAAAAGCAGCGGCGCGCAAAGAACGCACGGCCTAGAGCGCGTGATGTATTCGACGACAGCCCTGACCATGGTGTCGAGAAGGGACGGGTTGCTCTTGGAGCCAGCACCAGTCTGATGGATTACGATGCGTTCAGAGAATTCCTTGCCAACATGGCTAAATGGGCCATCTCAGACGCACCCACAACTCCGCGCCGAACTACTTTTGCCGACAAGGACAGAAATGCTTATACCAGCCCCCGACAAAACAATGGATTGCTCTCTCCTTGGGGCGCTGGCCCAGAGCCTGCGGATCACGAATTCATACAACTGCTCTTCAAGAAATGGGATGTTAGCGGCACAGGTGCGCTCACTTTGTCCGACGTCGTCGCAGGCTTTGCCAGTATCAAGGGCAAGCGAGACATCATGGGCACAATTACGTACTTCTTTGAACTATACGACGACGATGGCGATGGCAAGGTTGACCGCGAGGGTATCTTGCGAATTTCTGAATCCCTCTTATTCCTGTCAAGGCGAGGTCTCGAGGGAACGCTCAGCCCAAGCGCGTCAAGCCTCACACTCAACATGCCCAATGGCATGGGCAACAACGGCCCCGAACCGAGCCTACCTGGTATTTCAACCAACGAGAAGTTTCTGGGCAGCGTCAGTGCATTCATAAGAAGATGCTTTGAATACGCCGACCCCGATCATCCGCACAACCAGAACCGAAATCAAACCCACAAGGAGAAGGAAGAGAAGCCCAAGTCTGCGGACGCTGACGGCGCCTTTGCTATCGGTGACGATGAAGATGAAGATGAAGATGAGGAAGATCTTCTAGCCATGGACTCACCCACCGGCAGCCCGACCAAAGCGAAGAAATTTTCGGACAGCTTGCCATCGCCACCAGAAGAAAAGCAACCGGCCGAAGCTCAATCTCAACGACGTGTTTCGAAGGCACAATCAGAGGCGGCTAACGCTGCGCTGGATCCTTCAAATCCTTTGCACATTACACTTCCCACTTTCCGCATGGTCGTGCTCGCCGACGAGCTTCTGGAACAGTTCTTCGAATCATCCTTCCCCACCTCCTTCCATCTCATCGAAGGCCTGCCGACGGTATCGACGCCAACATCTACGCTTACGACCTTCTCTAGTCTCAACTTCGGACGTGCGCCTGTTGCCGCATTGAACCCTGCCGCCCAGGGAGCGACCCGTGGTCTGCGCGGTGTGCTCGACAACATTGTCACAGATGGCATGCGTGTTGCTGCCGAGGTTCGCAGAAGAATGGACGAGGCGCAGAAGGAGTTGGAGAAGAATGCTTTGCCTGGCCAAAAGGAAGAGGACGAAGAGGATGACGCAGACATCGGAGTCGAGATCGGTATCAGGAAGGGCACGGCTAGTGGAAGTGCGGACATTGAAAGACGGAGCGTTCGGAGTGAAGACCGGGATCTGCTTGACGGCGCGGACGCCGAAGCCGGTGCCAGCGGAAATGGGAAGGAAGGCCAGCTCGTTGACATTGAGCCCACAAGCAGACCCGAGGCGAATGCCAAGGGAGTGGTTGAGTTCGAGGGCTGATCGTTGCCAGCACAAGGCATGCAGCTTTTACTTGATCCATCCAAACTAAGAGTCTACAAGACAGCATGAGGACATCGCTAGCCTGAAAGGGGGATTCTGAGGTACGCGAAGAGCGGCAGTTGGCAGGAGGATGTGTGTGGCACGCAAGGGAAATGAGGGAGGCTAGCTAGCATGAGTGCGAACGAGAGTCGCGCCCCGGAGTGAGGTGGTATTCGTCGTCCTGCTGCGTTGTAGAAGGTATCTGTGGGACTGTGATTATGCCTGCGGACATCTTGTAACTAGGAGTTCCATCGGGATTGAATTGCCTCTGTGGCTAGATTATACAGTCATTAACAAGAGATTTTGACTGTTGGCAGCCTGACGGCGTCAGTGCATACACCTGCGAATAACGAAGTCATTGAGCTTCGTGAGGCATAACCCATGCAGCGGATACGAACCGACAAACCGACATTGGGGAAAAGCTCGCCAGCACACGCGCGTGGCTAGCATGCTCAGCCCCACGGATGGCAAAGCAATCTCCTTCCTGCGGTTTCGGGGGCAAATGTCGCTCAAAGCTTGGTTTGTGTGGTATGGAGCGCCTGCCCATGACAGGAAGGCGAGAGAAATTTGGCCATAACGCCATCGACTGGGCAGACGGTCGCCGGGCCCCAGATCGGCCTTCTCATGGACAGAATGAGCAGAAATGAATCCGTCGTCATATTCGCAATTACCTTGTGGCATGAGAGCGCGGGCACGGATTGTTCTTATGCCTGGGCATCACGAAGAGACGAGATGCGAGAAAAGAAGCCATTAGCGCCACCATCTTTGAGGAGGCAAGGTGCGTGTACCATTGCAGTGCAAAGGCGTTGGCCATGAGGCTGATGATACCATGTCAACAGGGAGGGCCATCCTCGTGTTGGGCCTGGCGTATGCAGGGAGAGCAGGAAGCATTCTAGCGCCCGCTTCCCTTTGGATGGGAAGCAGTGCGGAAGCTGAGACAAACTTTCCTCAACCGGATCTGAAAGCTGCCACTTACAACACCGTCCTCCACTCATCACCCCGGGCCAGCATCAACAGCATTCCGCTACTTTGGGCTGGCGAGCGTGGGACTTGGCGAGTCTGGAATCCCAGCTCATGCCTCGCCAGAATCCTACCCTTCGTCTTCTTTCACGTGTTCGACCTCCACTCTCGCACGACACGCCCACATGTTTGGGAGGCAAGCTTTCTGCGTTCATCAGTCAGGGATTGTCGAGGACGTTAACCTAGAAGGACCAGGGCCGTTTATCGCACCACGCACGCACTATTCCCTGAAGATGGGTAACGAGTCTGGACTCGTCCAAGCTTCCGTTCCATTTATATTTCGCAGAGACACACCAATGTCTCTGGACTACCTACCTACGGGCCAGTTTCGCCCCCCGGGGACACATGCTTTGCCGGTAGTTACCTGGTAGGGCCGTTCGCCCCTGTCAAGTCTGTGGGTAAACCACGGCGCGCAATACCGTCCGCAACGTCAGCCCGGTTGCCCGTCAACCCCTGGATCAGCAACAGCCCCTTCACATTCCTTGTGCGGATCCCAGCTGGACCTCCTCGTCGTCAACCTCGATACATGCTTCTCGTTGCGTCTGCTCAAGCATGCAGTGGAAAGTACGGTGATCGCGGGCATTCCCCTCTACCTCCCGCCCGTACCGGCTTCCACACCAACGAGCTCTGCCAAAGGGGAATCTGCTGCTCTGATGGTCTCCAGGCTTCGTCGCCTCCTGTGACAAATGGCTCCCATCAATGGCCATTCACCCGTTGAAGTTATCCATCCCTATCCAGTGGGATGAGAGGAGATGTGCGTCTGTGAAGCGAGCACAGCTTGACTGAAGCAGGCCCAAGCTCCCTCCTCCTGTGGCCATGCTGTGGGTGCCACGGGACGGTTCCCTCTTTGCCATTCCGCGTCGAATCCGCACCAAGAGGCCAAGTTTGAAATGAGGGGCCAGACCAAACACATACGGACATACACGAACGTGCCTGCACGCACACGGAGCACAGAGAGGAAAGGACGCCTGGAATGGAGGCGTTCAGGGGACAAGCATCGCGCACGGCTGGACCTGAGAATCGTCATTTCACACATTCCATCTCCCCGGAGCAAGGTCTCTGGGAAGGGCCACAGCAGCCCTAAGACGGCAGGAGAAAGGGGTAATCTCGCCTTGTTGACTGGGACTCGTCTTGGCCCCGACGGTGGAAAACTTTCAAATACGGCCAAGATTCTCCTTGCTCCAGATGGAAGTTTCTCTCCCTACCACGCTCCCAACTCACACTCGCTTCATCTCCTCTCGTCCGTCTTTCCTGGATTCCCTTCCGGGCAAGTGGGCATTCATTCGTTACTGTTGCTTGGCTTCTGTTCTCGCGTTTGTCGCTCTTTTGGGGGTCCCTCTCCCAGCCTAATATCTCTCACCCACTCCCAAAGCCTTCGACACTCGCCTCTTGGCCCTCCTGATCCACACCCAAGCTTCCGCAGTTGTTCAAACATCAACCCAACAAGATGGTTTGGCTGAAGAAGACGGTCCTCGTGGCCGCCGTGTCTTTGTCCGGCATTGCTCAGGCCCAGAGCACTACTTCCTCCACTTCCTCCGAAGTCCAGAGCAGCACTTCCTCCGACCTCGAGAGCAGCACCTTGACGTTCACCAACAGCAGCTCTACTCTGAGCAGCTCCTCTTCCAGCCTCAGCTCCACTTCTGGAACCGTCAGCCTCACCTCCACCTCCACTGGCAGCGAGAGCGAGACTTCCACGTCCACCGGCGCGGCCCCGGCCTCCACCAGCGGCAGCGTGACCCCGAGCGTCAGCCTGACCCCGAGCGTCAGCCTGACCCCGTCTCAGAGCTCTACTGGTGGTGCTGGTGCTAGCTCCTCTGCCCCTGGAGCCAGCAGCTCTGCTCCGGCAGCCAGCAGCAATGCTCCGGGTGCCAGCAGCTCTGCCCCGGGTGCCAGCAGTGAGGCTCCGGGTGCCAGCAGCCAGGCCCCGCCGGCCAGCTCTCAGGCCCCGGGTGCTAGCAGTCAGGCCCCGCCGGCCAGCAGTCAGGCTCCGGGTGCCAGCAGTCAGGCCCCGCCGGCCAGCAGCCCTGCCGGCTCCTCTCCTGGCGGCGGCGGCGCCGCTTCGACCCCCGCTGCCTCGGGCGGATCCACTCCGTCTTCCGCTCAGTCTGCGGCCGCCTCGGCGTCGGCCTCTAGCGCCCCTGCCGGAACCATCGCCGTGCTTAGCACAACTCCTCAGGCCTTCAACAACTTCTTGGACATTCAGCCCGGTGAAGCCATTATATCCACGCTCACGATCAACGGACAGGCGGTCAACTACGTCATTGTTTCCCAGGGCTGCAGAGGTGTGCCCGCTGGACAGTCGCCGTTCGCCGATGGCACCGGCCCCGAGTCTGGCACCGCCTTCACTCCCGGTTCTTGCGCGGCGACTTGCGCGGGCAAGGGCGCCTCCATGTCTGGAGCCCAGCGTGGCATCTGCAACTGCGGTAACACCCTGAGAACCGACCTTCCTCTCATCGCCCCCGCGCAGTGCAAGGCATCCAACAACGCCAAGCGTCAGACCGGCACCTACGACCCCGTCCCGATTGCGCAGGCCATTCCCGCCAGCCAGGTCGCCATCCAGTCGGCTACTGTCACCCTCTCGCAGTCTTCCCTCCCTGTCGTAGCCGTCAACACTGCGCCTCCTGGAGCGTCTGTTCCTGCCAGCACGACCGCAGCTGGATCTTCTGCTGGACCTTCTGCTGCTACTTCTGGTGCGTCGGGCTCTTCCGCTGCTTCCACTGGTGCCGGTGCTTCAACTGGTGCCGGTGCTTCTACTGGTGCCGGTGCTTCTACTGGTGCGCCTGCGGGCTCTTCTGCGGGCTCTTCTGCCGGTGCTTCCGCTGGTGCTTCGACCGGTGTCTCTTCTGCTGGTGCCACTCCCGCTTCCTCCGCCGGGACCAGCCCCGCCGTCTCCTCTCCCGCAGCAGCCAGTGCCACCGACTTCATTCTCGGAATTGTGGGAGGCCGTGCGCCCAGCTCTTCCGTCTCTAGCTCCGCCTCGTCTTCTCGCGCCAGCTCTGCTTCCTCCAGTTCCGCCGCCTCCAGCAGCGCCTCAAGCTCTCGTGCTTCCAGCGCTTCCAGTGCCTCTGCCTCTTCTGCCTCCTCCAGCTCTGCCGCTGCTTCAAGCTCCCCGATTATCACCATCCCCACCTCGAGCCTCTCCATCACCTCCCCCCCGGTCAGCGTTCCTTCCACCAGCACGTTCAACTTCGCGAACACCACTTCTGCCCAGCCTGCCCAGAAGCGTGCCATCCTCAAGCGCAAGATCGAGGAGGTCGCGAAGCGTCAGACTGGTGCCGTCACCTATGTCGGTCGTGTTGGCAACCCGAACCCCACCAACTGCCAGCAGGCTTCCCTCTTCAGGCTCGGCGCCTCCGGCACTCTCACCATCGACGGCGCCGCTTTCGGTGTCAACCCCGGTGTCCTCTTCGCCCCGCTCCGTACCGGCCAGACTGGATCCATCGTTGCAACCTTCACTGCCGTCACCGGCAGCGGTTTCGCCTGGACCAACCCTTCGTTCTTCGGCGGTCAGGCTGGCTTCTGCCAGGACGCCACTGGCCAGGTCTATGCCACCTTCGCTAACCCTGCCGTTGCTGGAAACGTCCCCAGCGGCTGCACGACTGTCTCCTTCAACGTCGTCCCCAGTAAGTACATGGAAATAGGTCTCGTATGTGTCCCTTTACTAACCAATGCCAGACTCCCAGTGCTCGCCCAGCGGAACTACTCTGCCCGCGTCCTCCACTACGCCCGTCGTTCCTACCAGCGGCGTTCCTACGTCTGGCGTTATCCCTACTAGCGGTGTTGTTCCCACCTCCGGCGTTGTCCCCACCTCCGGCGTTGTCCCCACCTCTGGAGTCGTCCCCACCAGCGGCGTTGTCCCCACCAGCGGCGTTGTTCCCACCAGCGGCGTTGTTCCCACCTCCGGAGTCGTTCCTACTTCCGGCGCCACCACCATTGTCGGCCCCTCTGGCACCACCATTATCGGCCCCTCCGGCACTACCATCATCGGTCCCTCCGGCACCTCTGTCGTCGGCCCGTCTGGTACCGACACCGGCGCTACAGCTACCAGCTCTGGAGCCGTCACCACCGTCGCCCCCAACCCCGGTACCATTGGAGACTACGCCTCCCTGGGCTGCTTCAGCTCCGGCGGCGGCTTCCCCTCGTTCCTCTTGGTCAAGCAGGACAACGCCCTCACCATCGACAGCTGTATCGCCGCCTGCGGTGGAAGCAAGCTCATTGGTGTCTTTGGCACTGACTGCTACTGCGGAAGCTTCATCGACAACTCCCAGACCCAGCAGGTCTCTGAGAACCAGTGCAACACCCAGTGCCCTGGCAACCCTCTTCAGCGCTGCGGTGGTCGCTCCTCGGTGGCCAAGCGCCAGGCTGTTCCTGCCGGCGTCCTTCTGAGCATCTACATCCGCATCGACGCTGGATCCATCTCCACCGTCGTCAGCGTCAGCGTCAGCGCCGGCATCGACACCACCGCCTCCTTCACCTTCACCACCGTCGTCACCGACCCCGGTGTCACGGCGACCACGGGAGTGCCCAGCCAGACCCCCAACGTCGTCGGCACTCTCACCCTGCCCCCCGGCCTCTACACCGAGGGCCAGCCCACCCCGACCGGCGAGTTCTGCCGCATCACCACGGGCTCCTGGCTCATCGGAGCGACCACCCTCCTCCCCTTCCCTCTGCCCACGGCCTGAGAGCGATGATTTTCAACGACAAGTTTATGAAGTCAATAAGCATCAGATCCCAAAGCTCGCATGGAAAAGAGATCTCGGGGAGTTAATTCTTGTCACAGTTTTAAAGTGGTTGTTTTTCCGACGGTGTGCGTGAGTGAGAGAGAGAGAGATGTTTGTATTGTTTGGATAGAGAGAATGGGGGAGGGAAACGAGAAGATGGTTTGTAAACTTTTTTTGTTTCTATTTGGATGATGCATTGAAAAGAAAGGCGAACAGTTGTAGAACTGTGCTACCCTTTTTTTTGGTAATATTGGGGTTGTGTTGTAGCTTATTGTGTGTTCTTTTGTCGGTAGAGAAGAATAGATGTTTCGGGCACCCTACGCTACCCTACCTACGCCTCTTCGGTTCATAATAAGTATCGTCTTTGCCTCTGATGAACTAACTCTGTGATGATGTGGGCTTTCTCCCCTTCAGGGTCCGATTGGGAACATGTTGGTTCATGGTGATCCTTTAATTATCATTCTCTACTATCATGACTATGTCTTTTCGCTCAGCTTTAGGCGTCGTTTGGAATACTGGTAGTGTACAAATACACAGGAAAGCTTTCCCTGCGGAGCACATCGGCGATGCGGCCGAAAACTGCCCCGGTCACCCGAACCCCACCCTCCCGAAAGGGGCCGGCGCTTACACGCCCACACACCTTCTTCTTCCAGTGACAGCCAACCATCAGCTCAATCTTCCCCCGGTCTACCCCAGAATCTGCTCGCTCCCCTGTCCATCGTTTGCGGACCTTGCGCTAGTAGAGAGCTCCGTTGATTGTTTAAAAGCCAAATTTAACACCACCACCATTAAAGATTTAATGTTTATGGTACCGGGGCTATGATGACTTCCTCGAAATCTCGCACCCTGCTCTGCGTGGTCGCGGATAACCACGCTCCCTCCCGACATACGCACACATTTCAGTCCGTGAATCCAAACAAGAAACAAGCCAGAAATAAGGATCGTCCCTTCCCTTTCCCCCTCTCCTCTTCCCCCAACCCCGCGTTTGGCCCGCTGTCACTACACCGTTACATCGCCCATCGGCTCCAATGTCTCTGTCAGGCTGCCTGGTCCGTCTTGGCTCGCAGATGATGGTGGTCTGCTGCGCTTACTTTCGTGGTCGAAAAAGCTTTGAGTGTGTACGCGAGGGGGCCATCTTTGCTTTTATGGGTGACTTACATTTCTCAATGTTACGTGATGTTCCTGTCCTGGATGCTGCGTGACGTTATACGAATGCTTGTTCCTGGTCTGTGAGGGGATTGCTTTTGTTGAGAGGTGATGAAGAGCCGGCATCACATGAAAACCTTTTTGTGTTCTGGCCGTTCCGCGGTTGATGGAGAGGGGATTGTGGTATCGCGTGGTTTACCATGCGGTCGTATTTACGAGAGGGAGTGGTATAAGTGAACTCCAGTTCATCCCAAATTGCACGCCATTCATCCCTCTCCTGCCAAGGAGATCTCAGACTCCTTCCTTGATCCCTCCGCCCTCTTCCTCCCCCCTTTACCGCAAGAATGAAGCCCCTCCCGTCCCTCGCGGCAGCAGCCGCGCTCCCCCTCGCCCTCGCAGCCCCCTACAACACCTTCGACGGCCCGGGCTTCCCGGCCTGCAACGACGTCGCGGCCGTCCACAACGCGACCTCCGTCGCCGAGATCCAGTCCCTCGTCCAGGACGCCGTCGCCGCGGGCCAGAAGGTGCGCGCCTCGGGCAAGGGCCACATGTGGTACGACACCATGTGCTCCGACGACGCGAACACGGTGATCATCCGCACGGAGGAGGTCAACGGCATCTCGGACTTTGATCTGGAGGGCGGCACCGTGGTGATCGAGGCGGGGGTCACGTTCCTGCAGCTGGCCGAGTACCTGCACGCGCGCGGCGCGTCGGCGGGGTACACGCTGGTGAACTGGAACATCACGCTGGCGGGGTGCGTGGCGATGGGCGCGCACCGGTCGAGCATCCGCGAGGATTCGATGGTGGCGGCGGGCGTGTTGGAGCTGGATATCGTGGACGGGAACGGGGAGATGAGGCATGTGGTCAAGGACGAGGGGAGCGACGAGTGGCTTGCGGCGTCGACTAGTTTGGGGCTGTTGGGGGTTATTGTGAGGATGAAGTTTAGGATTTATCCTGACTTTAAGGTCTATGCTGACCAGAAGACGTGAGTTTTTCCGTTTTGTCTCTCGGTAGGGGATTGTGATGGGTCTGACTGGATGTAGTCTCGAAGAGGATGAGGTCCTTGATGGTGACATATACGGCATGATTTCTCCCTACGCAACGGCAAACTTCTGGGTAAGTTAAACATACACACGCCAGGCTTCCCACAAGCTGACCCCATCCAGTGGTGGCCCTACAAGCGCAAGTTCCACTGGCGCTACTACGACGTCGTGCCCACCAACATCTCGGAGCAGCAGGGCTTCCAAAACACCTTCTCCGTCACGGACCTCGAGGGCAACACGGCCAAGACGCTCCTCGACAGCGGGCGCTACCTGCCGACGTCCAACATGCTCGCGGAGGAGATCTTCTTCGGCCTGTGGTCCAAGCCCAACTTCCGCGAGAAGACGACCAACACGGCCATCGACACGTGGCCCGTCTACGGGTGGAACTACGACGTGCTCATCGGCGGGCTGTACCCGGACCAGCGCCCGCTGTGGGAGGTCGGCGTGCAGGGCTACACGATGGAGCTGGCGTTCCCGATCACGCAGGCGAACGCGATGCTGCGGCGAGTGCGGCAGCTTTTTGATGATGAGCTGAAGAAGCTTGTCGTGATGACGTCGACGTACCGCAGTGGGATTAACATCAAGTTCGGGCGGCCGTTTGAGGGGTTTTTGAGCCAGGTGGCGACGAACACGAGTGATGGGGCGGATTGGAGTAAGGGGGCTATTATGTTTGATTTCCCGACGTTTAGGCCTACTGTGGGTGATCACAGCCGGTTTAATGAGCCTTTCTGTGGGTTACTCTCTGTTTTTGGTGTGAAGAGGATGGAGTGCTGACTATGTACAGATCACAATCTTGCCAAGGTCCTCATCGATGAGTTCCCGTGTCGCCCGCACTGGACGAAGAACACGAGAGAGATCTTTGCGAATGCGACGAAGAACCTGGATCCTGATGTAAGTCTTGCCTAGAAGGTTATTAGGGGAGGTCCAGAGACTGACTTGGTGATAGCACATTGCTCGCTTCAAGGCTGTGAGGGAGCAGTTTGATCCTAATGGAGTTTTCAGGAGCGTTGTTGGTGAGGCTATTGGAGTCTACTAGGTGATGGGACAGCAGTAGTTGATAGTGTTTTTCTCTTCGATGGACATACTTTAGGAGACCGACTGTTCTGGCTGTACCATGGCGGCTATACGTTCTGTGACTCTGCTGTCATCGTCGTGGTCGCGGCCGAGAGCTAGGTACTTAATCTTTTACATCAACAGGTTTAGTCGGCTCAACAGTCGCGCTCATTTCTGACCTAATCATTGAATTGACCCCATGCGTTGTGTCATACAAACTTATTGTGGATTAGTGGGCGACGCAAGGATCTAGCAATAGGAATGGCGGTTAGGATTCTCGTTGTCCCTTCTAAGCCTTTCTATTGGAGTATTCCAGCAGTTTCGCCCGTATACGATGCCTTAGGAATCGATGAGGCCACAAATGATGACCTTTGAGTCCAGTGGGCATTGACGCCTTCGACGCCTTGGAAAGTTTTCCCTGGATATCTTTGCACTACATCGGTGAAAAGGAAGCATTCTTCCGAGTTCTGGATCTCAACCCCAATGTGGGGGCAGCCTAACGCTTATGTTAGTAATGGAAGCCTACTGTGAGTCTCGACGCTATCACGATCATCTGGCGTCATGAGATTGAGCCTCCCCGGGATAGTTGAACACGTGGCGGAGGATGATCAGTTTGGCACAGGTATGCGCACCTTAGCCTCGAAACGGACACAGCGTTGACATCGCAGATTATATGAAAGAAGTATTTGTTCCCTTGACCAAGAACCCGCAAAGCAACAGAAGAGGGACGAATCGTTTCTGTAAGTGCGCATGTGACTTTCGCATTACCCGAAGCTCCGACTTCACGTTGATTCTGCAGTTGCTCAGCACCAAGTACGAAGCCTACGCGGAACTCGTGGTGTCGTCTCTCGTCAGGTTTCTCCTAGAACTTCCAGAAATTAGCTTGTAATACGCAGAGTTCCCAAATTCAAGCTTCCTATTAATCAAAATGAGGGTCTGTAGAAGCTGGAAGAGATATCCCGTTATCTAGCGGAAGCAAACAATAGCTCAACAGATATATTGGCTTTTCCTTTAGGCTTCAATGGGCAGATAGCTTGGTTTTATTCGTTTTGACCGGCATATGAGCTTGAACGTACTGAATACCATGTAGGTAAGCAAGCGAGATACAAACTCAGCAAATGTTCGATTATCATGGCCCTGGTAACTCGCAGGAGCGCTGCCGCCGTTTCACCGCAATGACACGATGCCCCCTGATCACCATATATACTCTCAGAGTGTCTTGACTACTCTCTGTTGCTCGTCACTTCTGTATGTTTATTCTTTCGATCATTCGAAACAGCCCATTTTTTCGCGACTGGCATCTTGTGCTGGCGTCGTGGTCTTTATAGACCGATACGTCTATCCTTCTCGAGCCCTAGACGAAAGAGGCGCAGCAAGAGAAAATCAGACCCTCATCAACGATTGGGAGAGCGAAGAGAGGCCTGTCGCAAACATGGCTTCTTCAAATAAAGCTAAAAATCGTATACGCCATTGTCAACGGCAGAATGAATGCCTCCGAGCGACTTGAAGGCACCTTATGAGTCTCGTGCCGCCTCGGACGGAAGACGTCGTTGGTACCAAGTTACTGACCTCTTCATGCGCTTGGAATCCAGCTTTCAAGGCAGGGTGAGTGTTGGTTCATCATTCTACAGCAATGAGGGTACATTTCGAAGTCTCTCACATGGTCAGATCCTGCAACAGGCTACTCCGGATTCTCGCCATGAATACAAGCGCTACCATAGACCAACCCCTTGAGTCAATGGCTTACCCCCCTTCAATGGTTCTCACCTACATTTGCAATGTAATCGTAAGTATACGTGGAAAGCAACGAACGAGGAGAGAGGAGCGACTTTGCCACCTGCTAGAAGGGACGGCTGTTGCGTAAATATCTGGGATCGCGATGCAGCTTTTCCAACTCTACTCGAATGCGCCATCAGAGCGGTACATTTGGTTGGGGAATCAGAAAACATGTACGCTTGCGGAAGATTGGGAGGAATTTATAAAGTAGATCTCACTTCAAGACCACTTATCCGTAGGCAAACACTCAGAGCTTGGAAGAAGCTAGTTACATTCTGAGGAGCAAACGTGAAGTCGGCTCGCTAGACACTGTTGCTCAACTGACTATAGCCCTGCTCGTGAGATGGCTAGGATCGCACGTGAATGATGTCTTACTGGACGATTGTAATCACTTGGTCAGAGTCGCCATCCCTACACACCTTCTGTTGAGTATTAACCCTCTACCACGAATACAGATATTCACTACTCTCGAGATATCCCACACCGATTCAACCAAACCTGATCCTGCGGCAAACATGGAGGGCATCTTCCCACACTTTCGTCCGAAGGTCACCACCGGGCTCCCACACGAACGCGTTCATCCGAAGTCGCAACCTGCACAAACCCAAAAACGCTCCAATCACAGACCGAGGAACCCCGTCATCGAACACTTCCGCGTGTGCATCCATAAGGGCGACGAGTGTGAAACTGCATCAAAGCCATTGGTGCGTTCCATCGCAAGACGACGCCGGTTCGTGGGCAGCCAGTCGCGCCAATGTCTGACACCAGTCAAGAGAAGGCCGCCAGTTTCGAGAACGTATTTGTCATTTTTCATGATGGGGTGTTGCTGGGTTCTATGCACGGGATAGTAACATATTGTTTGGGTAAGGGTCACTTGGTTCGGAAAACTTGCGAATGGATGTTACATCAGGCGACGATAATAAGGGCAAAATACCTAGAGACGTGAAGCTGGGGTAAGAGCGGTGCTTATTTAGTTCGAGTGTAGGCTAAGAAAAGTTCTTCTCCATGGGTAGAATCCTGTCGTCTCTGTCGTCTCTATCCGTAGATAGCTCTCCTCACGCATAGCATCAACAGTGTCATAATCCAAGAGAATTGTTCATGATTCATAAGCCTATCCAAGCCAGGGACCCAGCCTCTACACCCCCAATCTTCCGTCGCGCCCACCATTCCCATAATCTGTCTTTAATCTCTCTTAACAGGGATCAACTTCACCATCAAAGGCCCCTTCTCCCACGTCAGATAACTCTTCTGATCAACCCAGTTCTCCATACCAGGGCACAGGTCCAGGTCGTAGTGCCAGAGCGTCTTGGCCAGCATCAGACGAAGCTCAAGCCAAGCAAGACTTTTGAACACGCGCGTCAGCCCGTCGAACTACTCCAACTGCAGGGATACAAGGGCGTGTATGTAAGGAGAGGGTAACTGCAACTCACTTCTTTCCCAAACAGTTCCTCGGCCCGTACGAGAACGGCTCGTGGACCTCCCGCTTGTCGTCCCTCCACTCCGGGTCTTCGGGGTGGATCCAGCGCTCTGGGAGGAACTCGGTCGGCCGCGCCCAGTTGTCCAGGTGGCTGAAGGCGACGTACGGGTTGACCGAGACCCAAGTCTGCTCTCACACGTTAGCCCAGCACCTTACACAACCTAACGGAGTTTCAACGACGTACACCGCCCGGGATGAACTCCCCGCAAATCTCCGCCCCGCCCTCCGGCACAATCCTCGGCATCCCCGACCCGCCCGGGTTATAGATCCGCAACCCCTCCATCAGCACCCCGTTCAAATACTCCAGCTGCACCAGCCTATCCGTGTTAATCTCCTCCGTCCTTGCGAACGCGCCGCGGATCTCCGCCGTTAGGCGCGCGTGCACCGCCGGGTTGCGCAGCAGATAGTACGCCACGCCCGACAACACCGTCGCCGTCGTCTCCGTCCCGGCCACCATGAACATGGCCGCGTTCGCGTGCATCTCCCTGTCACTCAGCCCCTTCTCGTCGCCCTGGTGCTTCACCACAAAACTCCAGATGTCGGGCTTGGGATGGTCCTTCTGCGCCAGCCGGCGGTCGACCAGCGCGCCCGCGAAGTCCATGTGGTCCTGCGCGGCGCGCTTCATCGGCGCGGCCAGCACGCGCTCGCACAGCGGGCCCAGCACGGGGAACTCGAGCAGCACGACGCCGTAGATGACGTACTTGAGCCCCGAGAAGAGGCCGTGCACCCAGGGGTGGTAGTCGCCGCGCTCGAGGAGCAGCAGCGGCTCGCCGAAGGTGAGGTCGGCCATGACGTCGAAGGTGCAGAAGTTGAAGAGGTCGACGATGTTGACGGCGCGCGCGTCGTTGCGGCTGGCGAGCGCGCCCATGGTGTCCACCATCTGGTCGGCGTACTTTATCAGGAGCGGCTCCTGCGCCTTGAGGGCCGTGTTGCTGAAGGCGTGGCTGAAGATGCGGCGCATGCGGGTGTGGTCCTCGGGGAGCGTGGTGACGAGGCTGTCGCGGCCGAAGGCGTCGCCGCCGAAGAAGCGCATGTCTTTGTACATCTCGGACTTGAGCGGGCGGCCTAGGATGTCTTTCCATGCTTGCGCTGTTTTTGCGTGAATGTGTTAGTTTTTACCGGTGCTGGTTTGGAAGGGAACGAGGTTTTGAGGGTTGGTTTACGTTGGATGTACGAGAGCTCGTTAGGCGCTACGCGGACAGTGCCTTGATACGTCTCGTGGATCTCCCGCGCCTTCTTTGCGTACAGGCCGCGGAGCATGTAGATGTTCTTGGGGAGCGGGCTGGCTCGCCAGAGGAGAGGGCCCGGGTAGTGGCGCAACGGGTGGAAGAAGACATTGTATATGCCCAAGAGGAAGTACTGCGACTGCGGTCAGATTGAGGGTCTTGAATTGTGTAGTTTTGCACTCACGTAGATGAAGGTGAATGCGGCTGTGTAGAGAGCAAGACTCCCGTAACTCAAAGCCATCTTGGCGATTGTATTGTCCACCAGCGCGAGCTCTACGACGATGAATGTAAGTTGAAGTTGAGTGAAAATTTCCGAGGGTCAAGGCCAATATCTATCCTAACCACTGACTGACGCCAGGCCGCGCAACGCTGCTGCAGCGGCGTTGCAAGCTTCCTCGAAAAAGGGTTCCCCAACAGGCAAACGAATACGAATTCGATGTGTGATGGTTCGTTCGCCCGCCGCCGAACACCACCCATCATCTTTCCATATTAAGCAACCCCAAACACATGTCAACGCGCAGGGTTCGTGAGGGGGGAACGGATTCGAAACTCTCTGCACGCACACAGAAACCAAACCACGGCATTGGTTTCAAACAAGCAGAGAGCAACAAACCTCACCCATCAGTACTCTACTTCCGTGTCGCCGGCATTGACCGTCTTGTGCCCAGCCCCAGCCCACCCACCATTCACGTTGCTGCTGAACGGCGCTTGGCACCCGCGCGGAAGGTCGGGCGGGCGGCCAGGCTTCGTTTTTGACAGCTACCTGAACCCATCCACTCGGTCGGATCCCGCGCCGATCAGCTGTTATGTGTGCCTGGCCTTTCTTGAGACGAAGTCATGCAAGTCATCATGCCGAGTTCGAATGCGGTCGGATCCGGGGCACTCGTCCCGGACTGCTGCGCCTCCGGCGTTGACGGATAACCGTCGAAGTGAAATTGCGGCACTCGCCTCCGGTGGCCAGTCAGTCCATCATCACATGCGGACAAAATTCTCCTGAGAGAGTCAGTCGCGTACTGTACATGATGGTCTCGCATGAAAGGTTCAAAACTGCAGAAAAAGAAGAAAAGGCGAGGAAGACGAGGATAACGAGGGGCTCTTGGTTGAGGTGCACTTCGACCCCGATCAATCAACCCATCATCGCATGCAACCCCGTGAGACTCCGTCGAGTGCGATGTGCGATACTCTCGCAGAATAGGTTCCATACTGCAGACCAAAAGGCGAGATAGACGAGGAAAACAAAAAGTTTCTCGGTCGACTAACACGATTCGACCCCGATCAGTCAGCACCTCACGCAAGCTTTATCGATAAGGCGTCATCACAGCCCAACCCCTCCCCCGCCGCGCACCGCACGCCAATGGGGGAGCTCTCATCCCTACGTCACGACTTGAGAGGAGGCTTTCGTTGTGTCTTACAGCCTCCGTCCCTCACATTCCTCAGTGATCTCCCTAGAGCCCCTCAAATTAAATATCTTAAACGGTGCCGCATTCCAACAACGTTTGAAAAAGTGAACAGAAATAGAACCAGAAAGCTTTTGCCCTGAAGCAGAAAGCTAACCCACCACACGCAACTATGTCTCCGGTCCTGGTCGTTGGGGCCACTCGGGGTCTCGGAGCTTCTCTGACCAAGCAATATGCCGCACAGTCCGGCACGACCGTCTACGGCACGACGCGTTCCAAGGCTGGCCCGGAAAAAGGGTTTCCGGAGAGTGTCAAGTGGCTGCCGGAGGTCGACCTGATGGATTCCAAGGTTGGTGACCACTTGGTCAGTTTGCTGGGCGGCTCGAAGCCGTTGTCGGCCGTGGTAGGTCGTCCCTTACATACCGGTGAACCTTTGCTCGATCGGACCATTGACGCCGGCAGATTATCACGGCGGGCTACTTCGTGACCGAAGACCTCAGCGCCGAAAAGGGCCCGAACTGGTCCGAAGAACAACGCATGTACACGACCAGCTCCATAGCACCCGTCTTCATTGTCAATGCCCTGGTGCATGCCGGCTTGCTGCAGAAGGACTCCAAGATTGTGCTCGTTTCGTCAGAGTCTGGGAGCATCACTCTCAGGCACGAGAAAGAAGGCGGCGGCAACTATGCGCACCACGCGAGCAAGGCTGCATTGAACATGGTCGGCAAGTTGCTGAGTCTCGACCTCAAGGAGAAGGGCGTCATCGTCAGTATCGTCCATCCGGGCTTCATGCGGACCGAGATGACCAAAGGCGTCGGCTTTGATAAGTACTGGGATGACGGAGGTGGTAAGTTTGTTTTCAGGAAATGTCTTCCAACAAACTGTGAATCGCTAATGTTCGGGTGCCCAGCCGTGACGCCCGACAAGGCGGCCGACAGTCTCATCGCCTGGACAGACAAGCTCGACATTTCCAAGACAGGCGAGTATTGGGCGCCGAGAGGACCGGGTAAGTGCCGACGACGCGGTTGCACCGTCTAGAGGACAAGACATGTTGACTGATGCGCTCTCCCGAAGGTGACATTGGTACGGCCGAAGTGGTTCTTGGAAAGGGGCTCTCGACGCCGTTGCATCTGCCTTGGTAAAGGCCAGGAAGATTCTAGACGGACGAGGCCGAAGCTCTGGATCTTGTCCGCATGCTCCGGACCAGGTGTTTCCCACCATGTTGAGACAGGCTTCATGGATGTTCGGTCGGGCTGCGCAGAACAAGGCTCTTCGGTTCCGCGGGGGACCCGGCCGTGAAAGCATAGGTGTTCATGACAGCGAGCAGCAGGTTTCTTGTGTGATTCGGTACCCAGCAGCCGATGGGCTCGGGCTTAGTGGGCATTAGTGGTTCGACGGCGCCTGAGGCGGTTCATTGCCCATCGCCGCAAATGAGACGAACGACTCGCTTGATTGCATCCCCGCATCAGAGTGGATGGGGAGCACGGCCAGCAACCAGTGCTGTGGCCACTCAGGCGCACGCGATGGCACAAAAATAGGGGATATTGATAATGGGGCGCATGGTCTGCGACGGAGACAAGAAAAGAAATGCAACGACTGGAGTCCTCGTCAGGCATAGTCGCGGTGCAATCTGCCAATCTGTGCAAGATCGCGCTTTTGCAGGTTGGCGCGTTGTCTGGCCCATGCACTTCATTACCGATGGATCAACTACCGCAGCTGTAGATATTAATCAAATTCCCCATGATCGTCTTTTATATTGAACAAGCTCCATCGTCAGATTTTGCTCCAATGCTCTTCTTCATAAAAGGCTCGCTTGTGTTTCAGATTGGCGACGTGAGTCCGGGATGACGCTGTTTGCCGGTGCTCCACGAAGGACCGCAACGACGGAAGGCGGCTCCCCGATCTCTCAAGCAAGAAGAAGAAAAGGGGGGCTCGGGGCACAGCTGTCAGAATGCGCGCCAGGGCATTAAGGTTGCAAGGGCAGCCCAAGCACAGGACGCGGTGCTTGACGCCACGAGATGGTCCATCGAAGCATTGTTTTTGTATGTTATTGTTGCCAAGTGCTGTTGGGTATTTGGCCTGGACTCAATAAGCCGGCGTGCTGCCTGCCAGCATCTTTTGGTGACCGCTTGCGCGTTGTTCGTTGCACTGCCAAGCCCGTTGGCATGTGAGGAGAGACGGGAGGCTGAGATGGGAGGGCTTGGAGGGTGTCCGCCGTCTCCCTCCCCAGAGGTTGCCAGCTGGCTGCGTGTTGTATCCTAACTACCCTGTTCGGAGTTCGGCTTGGCAAAGGAAATCGGCAAGTCAACATGCGCGGTTGCTGAGTGAGTCGCGGGTCGATCTTGATCCCGCAGATAACGACATACATACAGCGGATGCGTATCTGTATCTCCCACCGTAGTCAAACAAAGCGGGTCTGTTCTCTGCCCGAATCTCTTAGGTTTGACGCACTGATGATGAAGTGACTGGTTGTTTGCGCTCGGGTGGGAGCTGGGATCGAAAAGACAAAGTGAATTGTCCGATGAAGAGTGACTATTGGACGCCACCGAGATGGCCGGGCCTTGTGGGGGAGCGAACGGCTCGAGATTCCTGGGAGCGTCACGCGTCAGCAGGAAACAACGGGCTCTTTCGTGCGTGAGGTGACAGAAAGAGCTATGCAGACACAGACGTCGGAAGCTGCAGCTAGTCTGCGGTATCCGTACACAATAGCGGTAAGAACAGGGCTGGCTGTTGTTGGTGCAGTCGAGGCAAACCGAGGCTGGTGCGAAATTGAAGGCATTGGGTCATTTGGAGCAGTTGGAGGAGGTGCATCGGCTGGTCTGACGTCCACGGTGCTGCACCCCATGCTTCCTTAGCGTAAGGTGGACGACCAGGGGGCCTACACGAGGTTGCTTCCAGCAAAGTCGAGAAGGCGGGCGGCGAACCGGGTCCCTGTGTGACTCTGTGATTTTCGTCATGTCCAGATGGGAGGTAAGGGAACATGGACCGGGGCGGACAAACAGCTCCATCCTTCATCTTGATCGAGTGCAGCGCAGTGCAGCCGTGGTGTCACCAGCTCAACGACCCGATTGAAGACGGACGGGTTGTTCGGGACGAGATTGTGTTGTTACGTATGTGTGCCATTTCATCAAAGAAAAGAAAAGAGGGAAAAGTTGGGTCTGGGTGGAGGAGAGCTGCGCAGACGTGGGCAGGGCTGGTACCGAGAGCACCGAGTGGTCTTTGCTGGCGGTGTTTTTTTCGTCCAAGAAACGACTCTGTAAGACCTGGCGACGTCAGGTACATGCCACAGGTTCACCCTCTGACACCGAGCCAAGTCCAGGTAGCGTGGCCCAAAGAAGGGCCGGTCGGTAGTAGCCGGCTGTGCATATGGCACTGCTCTCTGTCCGTACCGCAGTACTATTCGTGGGAGCATTTGTTCTGGGTGGGCGTATGTGGATGTAGTGCATTGTCGGTCAGATGGCTCCAGCATCGGCGGCGGGAGTTGCACGTTTGGTGGTGTGTGAGGTGTTCGTCTGGTGTTGCAGGCAGGATCCGTCCGGGCCTGGTCGAGATGAGCAGGTGGTAGTGGCCGTGGTGTTTGATTCTCTGGGTCAATTCTGGGTGCATGTCTGGATGAGCAGGCGGTCCTCATCTGTCAATTGTCACCGTCGTCTTATTTTGCGGAACTCCATTCGCAAGCGAAGGTGCAGCAGTAGCAGCAGCAGGCGAGAGAGAGTCTGGGCACGTCGGTCCCCTGTCGTCGTGGCGGGCTGTTGATTTGTTGAATTGCAGTTGCGGTGGTCGGGTTTAGAATAATTAGGATTATTAGGGGTCCTGGGGTGTGTCGTCGGCACGTCTGGTCTGCACCCCGGTCGACCGAGGACCATCACTCCCGCGTTGGTCGTTGCTAGTGTTCCAGGACCCCATTCCGCGATGCCGCTTCGAGAGTAGAGCAGCAGACGTGCAGAACAGCGGTGGATCATCGTTTGTTGAACAAGCTGGGTGAATCCATTTTAAAATCTGAGGAGGGCGCGTGGGAGGAGGGCCAGGCCTTGGAGCTCGAGCCCAATCGTTGTGGTGCAATGTCAGACAGACCCAGACGCGGGACGGAGTCGAGGGTTTAAGCGTTGCGGCGACGAGGGACCTCAGAGGGTTTTCGATGGTGACGATGTTGTTATTGTTCTCCAAGAACGCCCGGGCATGAAGCCGAAAGCCGGTAGGCAAGGCAGGACAGGTGAAGCAAGTAGACCAAGGTTAGGTACTCGAGAGAAGAAAACAAAAGTGGTAGGAGGCGGAAGTACCGTTTCTGTCAAAGACAAAGGAAAGCAGTGACAGACCATGCCGTGCCCGCTCACCCACCGCCCACCGTCCAGCGCCCACGATGCAGCCACAAACCCGGGCTGAGGGGAGGAGGGCGTGAGGGTCAGAGGGTGAGTGAGGTGAGGGGAGAGAAGTCCAGTCTGATGAGTGGAAGGAAGGAAGGTGATCGGGGCGGGTGGAATGCGCGGGGATCGGAAGTGAGGAAGGTGCAGTGGAAGTAGTCCTTTCCATCCATCCATTGCTTCTTTCCTTCCTTCCCTCACCCTCACCCTCACCACACTGGAGACTGGACCTCTTTGGCAGGACCGGGCCTGGGCTGCACTTGCCTCTGCACTTGCATCCGTATTTCAGCCGCTGTCCTGAATAAACTAACCTAATTCTAATAAATCATTGCTCTTGCCTGTTTCTGCTTCCCCGCTTAAACCTCACTTGCCGTACCTGACCTACCTTACCATACCATACCTTACCTTCCTTACCTTACTCTCAGCTCAGCTCAGCTGTGCTGTTTGTTTGCTCTGTCCTCATTTACCCTTTCCTCTTCTTCCTTCCTCAACTCTTGCCTCGTTGGCTCTTTCCTGCCTCACAAGATTCCTGTCCTGTACCCTCCATCACCTAAAGGTACCCCAAGCTTTTCCTTCCACCGCCTGCCTCTGTTACTTCGCAGCAACAACAACTACTCGCACCAGGGACACGCGAGTTCCTACCTTGCCTTGCTCTCTCCGCCCCGGCTCGAAACTTCACTTCTTTCGTTTCTCGCCTGCCGCCGCGACGCCACTCTCTCGCTCACTCGCGAATCTTCTCTAACCATCTTCAACCTCTGCCACAATCCTCCTCCACGCCGCATCAAATACCCCGTTCCAGCACATACCGACGCCCGCATTCCCTCGAGAAGCGAACCGGCAATAGCGACACCGATATACATCCACACAACCACACAGCCAAACAAACACCATTTTCCACTCTATTACCGAACAGGAACCACGCAGCAGAAACATTACCGCATCGTAGCCGACAACGCGCATTTACCCCGGCGGTTTCCCTCGCAGCTTCAAGAAGGGTCGAGATAAAAAAAAGACAACCGGCTCCAACGGGCCACCTCCGAGGCGAGACGCCAGCCCATCCCAGTCAACCGCACCGAGACAGAGTTGGCAGCACGGCCGCCTTATCTTCTCACGACGCAACCCCGTTGGGTCCTTCGTCCGACTTGAACTGACCGCAGGCACCAAGAAGTTGGGTCGATCCGGGTCCGTGTTGCAGGCGCACCGAGCAGGTCACCGTCACACACGCACACAGCGACCGTCAGTCGACGGCACGGCAGCGCAGCATCCAAACACAGGCACGCGAAATCTGCGCTTGGCAGTCTTCTGTGAGATCTGGATTTTTCGATCGCCCGCCTCCCCAGCGTGGATCGCCAGCATATTAAGCTGCCCGATTCGCTCCACGAAAAAGACGTGTTACAGCGTCCCGGATAAGGAAAACAGAAAAAGCAAGCAAGAGGGACGAGAAAAAGCAGGTGAGCTTGCCCTTCCTTTTCTGGCCCACCGGCATGGCACCTCGTGGTGTGGTTGCCAGTTCACCCATTCACGGCGTCACCCATCCTTCGCGATCCCCCAAAAAATAAACCCCCAATTCCGCCCCAAGCAGCCAAACCCCTTCAACCTCGCTCGTGGATGGATCCCCAGATCCACCGCCCTACCACCCAAATTCCTAGCTAATCCAGTCGCTAACCAGCATACCAGCAATCTCCCCCTGAATCCGATAATCCATCCGATAATCCATCAGCCCCCCTCCGAACCAAAGGGGCCCTGAATAAACCCTCCATCCATCCATCCACCGTCCAGAATCAGCACGCCGGCATCAGTTGCATTACACCACATACGATATTCAATTGTTATTGGGCTCTTCGACGTTACCTTCGGTCGTCACCGCGCACCCCTTTTTTCATCCTTCTTTTCTTCTTTCCTTTTCGGATTGTTCCCCCTTCCAAGCGGTAGCTCGCTCCGAAGGCCCACGCCTTGATCCCCAACCGCCCAGGTCGACCTTCTCCGGGTCCCGACTCCCGCGACCGCACCACCCGCACTCTGGCCTGCAGCTTGCTTGCACACCTGCCGAGGAACCGTCGAGTGGCCCCCAAAAATCCCGTTGTTTGGCGTCCCTGCAGAGGCATGACGCTAGGAGCGGGCATTTAGGCCAACGAAAACCAAGCTTGCTAGCAACGACTCTCGTGCTCTCTCGGCCAGCTCCCCTTTTTTTACCCGCGAAAAAAGGCCGATCCCTTGAGTTCAATACTACGCCGCCTGTCCATCCTCATTATCTATCCCTCCCGTCAAAAAGCACGGGTGCCACACCTCACAACCGCCAAAATGTCAACGGCACAATCAGCACAGCCAGGTAAGCCAAGCATCAAGCACTGATATGCGCCTGGCACCGCTCCCACCCACCACAACCCCTTTCTTCCCTGTCTGCCACCATCTTCCCAGGTTTTTTCCCCCTCTGACTTTTGCCCTGTCCAACGGGAGGAGAGCCGCCCTTTTTACGGCCTGCACTGCCGCCCAAGCAAACGCAAGCACCACGCCCGCTCCACCCAATCGTCGAACCTGCTGTGTCATGTAGACGGCCCTCTTGTTTCATATCCCATCCCCCTCGCCGTCATTCGCATGCACGGTGCCGTCTCTCTCCTGTCTATTACTGACTTTACTTCCTTGGAATAGGTCACCAACCTAGCAGGTCGGCCGGCTTAACACTCAATCTCTCCTCCAACAACCCCTTTCGCAACCGCGCCGCCTCCCCACTCCTCTCCGGCGGTACCTATAGCAATACCACCTCGCCCGCTTCGCCTTTTGACGACCCTCCTCCTCGCCCAGTCTCGCGCAACCCATTCCTCGATCCATCATATTCGTCTAGTCAACCAAACTTGATCGGAGCAGGCACAATGGCACCAACGCTGGACCCAAAGGCGTCCTCGCCGACCGCTGAGGAGCTTTTCGTAAGTGCCCAACCTGCACGACTCGGGCACTGTTCAATCTGAACACGCTTTTACCGGTCGCTGCGATTGCGACCGTCGCAGAGTTGACTGACAATCTTCATCACAGGACGGCCTTAACATCGACGATAAGAAGTCTTCACGTCCCGAAGGAAGCAGACCTCCCGCAAACCGCCCGCCTGGTCCTCCTGGCCCCGGTCGCCGTGGTCCCCCGCCTCCCGGCCACCGCCCCTCGAGATCCCAAGAGGAGGCGATGAGACAGCGCAGAATGCAAGGCAACGGCAGCGTTAGTGGCGGCCCGCCCCGACCTTCTGGGCCTCCAGGCTCCCCGCAGCGACGACCTCAGGAGCGTCGCCCTCGCCGTAACTCGGATTCTTCGCTCCTGATTGACATCGAAAAGCCGCTTACCGACGAGGAGAAGAAGGCCAAGGAGGCCAGACGTCGTGAGAGGGAGCGCCGCGCTCGCGAAGGAAAGGAGAAGGACCCTAAGAAGCCCAGCCGCCGGATTGATGTGATTGATCAATTGGACGCCACTAGCATCTACGGCACCGGATGTAGGTCAGAACCTCTTGGATCCATGTCTCGATACTAACGACTTCAGTGTTCCACCACGATGGCCCATTCGACGCCGCAAACCCCCACCGCAACCGAAAGGGCAGCCGCCGCGCCCCGATGCAGGCTTTCGCCAAGGACTCGCTCAACATGTCTTTGGGCGGAGCCGGACCCCTCAACAAGCGTCCCGACCACGCCACTTTCATGGGTAACAATGACGGCGACGCGTCTGCTGACTTTGCCTCCGCTGGAGCCAGAGATCCCTACCAACAGCACAAGAACGAGCCGGCCGTGTTCGATCCCCGAGCCCGCAGCTCCATCCTCCACGGCGAGGAGAGCATGGGTCTCGGTACCTCGACCTTCCTCGAGGGAACTCCCGCCGCACGCACTGCGATCCAGCGCACCCAGCAAGAGCAGGCTCAGCAGAGCCAGGCCGACGGCTTGAAGCGCAACAAGTCCATCGCTCAGCGTATCCGTGGCATGAAGAGGGAGCCTCGCGAGTACGGACCTGCTGGCCGCATGACGAATCCAGAGGGTGCTTACCACTCCCGTAGGTCTCCTGACAGTGCTGGGCCCTCCACCAGCATCTCGTACACGAGCGAGCGAAACCCGTTCTTCTCCGAGTACGGCAAGGAGCCTGAGAGCATCTCAGTCAAGCGTACCGACAACGGCGCCAAGTCACCCGGAACCCCTCCGCCGGTCCCCCGTAGAGGCTCTGCCAATGCCCTCGAGCGTCGCAACACTACTGACGTCAAGTCGCCCACCGAGGAGGCCCCCGGGAAGTCGTCCGGAGGTTTCCTGTCCCGAGTCAAGAGTCTGAAGGGAGGACGCAGACGCCAGGCCTCTGATGCCATGGCTCCTCCGGCCCCTGGAACTGCCGCCTAGTGGAGACGCAGGCCTTAGGAAGCTGAGAAGAACAAAGCGTCTAAACGTCGAGGCGATGACGCGCGCAAGCAAGAGCGCGTAGCCCACATTTATCTTTCAGACAAGCAGTCAGTCGCGCTTGGGTCGAACAAAACCAGAAGAGCCACGATTCCCTTCTGAACAAAAGACAACACAGCAGCATTTCACACTACACCGGATAATGAGCTCGATCACATCGGTATCTGTGCAGCAATCACTTTGGAACCCGCAGGAGTGAAGAGTAGTGGTTGGGTGGGATCTCGAATTGGTTTGGGTGGATATTGGAGAAAGCCATCGGGACGAGAACTCCGAAGGCCAGGGCGGACAGGTTGCACCAATGCAGTGCACCTTTTTTCAGGAGCTGCCTGGCGTATTGTGATACCTTTCGTGGATAATCATATTTCTTTAAGGGGGAATAGGTCCCCCGTCTTTCCGCCTCTTTTTGCTACAAGTATTCTGGGCCCAGGAGAGGCATACTACACAAGAGGATAGCATAGAGCAGGCAGCCAACAGTCCGTCGGCAGATTGTTATGAATTAGCCTTTTTGAAGAAAAAATTGAGACTATTTGGCCTCGGATTGTGTTCATCCCTACAGCAGTATTTGAGTGAGTGTGCATGATATTTTTGGAACGAGGGATCAGCCCATTGATACGGAAGGCTAATGTGCATGTGCATGACTTGTCATTCATGCAAGGATGCTCTGCAAGGGGCTTTGTTATCTCAGCAAAGGGGAGATGGAGGTGTGCCACGCCCAGATTTCATGCAAGAAAAGGGAATGATGTCATTGAGGGTGGCTGGACATGCCTGTCCAAAGTGTCTGCGCCGAGACCTGATCGAGATGGCGACGGGGGACTCGCCCCCAGCTTCCCCGAAACCTTATTTCGCTCCTCCATCATGTGACCTGTCCAGTGACATCCTCGCTGCATCATCAGGTTCGAGCTGAGCAGCAATCACGCGCCTGGCGGGCTGGGGGAAATTGTTGCTACAGGACAATATTCGGAAATGACGCGGTACGATTTTGCTCCTTATTTTCTCCGAAGACGGCAGTGGTACGAAGCTGAGCGGCGGCGCTGAGCGGGGTGGGGGAAAGTACCTTACATTACCATTACGCCCCCAACAACACACCATGGACGGCGACGAGGATGCTGCGGACGCGGGCGGTGGGATGATGATGATACCATCGCAGGCGAGCTCGCATTTCCCGATTGAACCGGTCTCGGCGGACGTGTTGCTGCGGCGGGAGACGAAGCGGCGCGACGCGCTGAAGAAGAGAGGGCCGGTGAGGGTTGGGTGTCGCGAGGTGGATGAGTATGTGCTCATGGGAGGAGGCCTGGAGCGCGGGAGCGTGGTTGGGATTAGTGCTGAGAGCGAGCAGATGGGGTTGATGGTGAGTTTCTCTGCACATCTTGTCAGTGGTTTTTTTGGGGGCTGACTCGAGGCGATTGAAAAGATTTCGCTGCAGGCGGTGGCGACGGAGCTCTGCGGGAGCGAGGGCGAGATGAGCAGGGCGATGGTCGTCACGGCCCAGCCGCCCGCTGCGATCTTGCCGGCGCTGAGGGATGCGGTCAAGGCGGAGCTCGCGGCCCGCGGCGTTGCGGGGGCGGAGGTGAGGGGCAGGCTTGTTTCCTGTCTGGAGCGCGTGTCGATCACGAGGGTGTTTGATCTGGAGGGTTTGTGGGAGGTGCTTGGCGATATGGACATTCCGCCGGAGAGTCCGGGGTCTGAAGCAGCGTCGTTGGTGCCGGAGCAGGAGGAGGATCCGGAGGTGCTGCTGGCGTCGCAAGGGCAGCAGGAGGAGGTCGCTTCACCGGAGCCCGAGAGGATAACTTTGCCGGATCTGAAGCCTGTGTATGAGTCGCCGCAGCGGAGGCCGGCGAGGACGGAGATTGCGGACAGCGAGGAGGAGGATGACATCAGCGATGGTGAGGACGGTGACGTTAGCGACGGCAAGGACAACAACATCAACGAGGATAAGGATGATGAAGCGCCCGCGCCATCTTCTTCAGAGCTCTCGGATCTGTCGCCGCCGCCCTCGTCAATGGCTTCGATGCTAGCTACACCCGACCCTGTCGTTGTCCCTGAAGACGACGAGAAATCCGACTCCCACGAGGACCCCGGCATGGGAGATTTCACCGTTCAGGAAGAGAAGCTACCAACGCCTCCAGAGCAGCCAGTTGCAGACCAACACAGAAGAAGCAGGAGCCCGAGTATGGAAGCCGAAGCCCGCGCGCCCCCGGACATAATCCTCATCACGCACTTTTCCACCCTCATGACGGCCTTCTTTACCGGACGCGACAGGGCATCGGCCCACGACGGGCTACAGTCCCTATCTGCCTTCCTACGCTACCTCTCGCGCAACCTCTCTAGCAGCCCGCTCATCATGCTCCTCAACAGCACCAGCTCCTCAAAGAGCAGGACGCTGACGGAGCCGCCGCCGATGCCCCCCTCCGAAGCACCACCACCACCACCAGACGAAAGAAGCAGCAGCAGCAGCAAGCCTCTCGCCGCGACGCTGCGGTCCGTCTTCAACCCGCCCCAGCTGGACATACCAGGCTACGCCGGCCACGCGGCCGCGCGGCGGAACAAGCCCACCTTCGGCCTCGTCTTCGCGCAGCTGCTCGACCTGCACCTGCTGTGCACCAAGGTGCCGCGCACGAGGGAGGACGCGGAGAGGCTGTACGCGCCGCCTGACCGGAGCGACGGCGGCGGCGGCGGCGTGCGGTATACGTGGGTCGTTGAGGTCCTGCTCGACGAGCTGGGCGTCTGGGAGGAAGGTGCCGCAGCCGGGGTGAGACGGTGCAGGGAGCAGCGGTGGACGGCGGTGGACGTGAGGGCGGGCAGGGTCGTGGATGCGTTCGAGGGTGCGGAGAGGACAAAGGGCAATGTTGGCGATGTTAGGGTCGTGGGCGGCTTTGGCGGCCCGCGGGTGTGAGGTAGCACGGGGATCTGACGTGGATGCTCGCCCCCGGTTTATAGAATTTCACGTCTTTGCGGTCACAGGCTTGAGGGGAGTCATGGAGATGGATGGCATGTGGATAACACGCAGGCTTGGCTGCGTTCATCTGCCAGCATCTGACAGCCGACCAACAACCTTGTTGTCCCAACCCATCATGCAGAGAAATGACTCTTACCGAATACAGTGCAGTCTACAAGCACTTTTACTCTGCGTTAATGGGAAACGAAACCGCTCAAAAACCGCGTTGCGACGTGTATGTGTTGGCTCGCGGGGGCTCTGCGGACCCTGATGGCCACGCTCGACCGGGAAGAGGCGGCGGGCGGCGCTCCGGCAGCCCGCAAACCCCAGAACCCATCCATGGATTGGATTATTCTTTTTGTAGAAAACCGAGTGGGTTCTTTGTCTCAAAGGCTCCTGTTGTTCGATTCTGTTACGAAATCGTCTTTTGTGCTGACAGAGACTGTGTGTGTACATATATAAGTGACGTTGGATTTCCTCCTTCTCCATGGGGCGAAGGGTGCGTGTCTGCTTCGAGCCTTCGAGAACGCTGCGCAGGAATTTGTCTGAGGTATTGATTGGGCGCGTTCGGTCTTCTTCTTTGCCTTTAAGCAGCGGTAACAACAATAACGACGACGATATCCCGGATAAAGGAGAAGAGCGCGCAGAGATGAGGATTGCTGGGGCGCTGGTGCCGCTGGCGGCTGCGGCTTCGGCTGTTACTTTGCCTGGAGCGTCTCCCGCTGCGGAAGGGGCTACGAGTGCTTCCGATTGGACTTCTGTTCTGGACGCCCAAGGGGCTGTATCTTCGTTCGGACGGGTTCTTGGCGCGGCGACGAGGAGACTTACATGGTCCGGCACGAGCCCCACCAACGACATCGAGGCGGAAGCGCCAATCTACCGCTACGAGACGGTGCCGGAGAAAGAGGTCGCGGAGAGTGTCTACCAAATCATCCAGGAGAGCGGACACGAGCGGTTCGCGGCGCTGCTACGCGGACAAGAGGCCCTTTACAAAAGGCTTGCTGGTGCCGAGGGGGCGTTTACAGTCTTCGTGCCCACCGACGAGGCCTTCCAGAAGCTGGATATGTATCAGAGCGGCGAGGCGCTTGTGCGTGAGATGGCGGAGTACCACGTCCTCGAGGGGGTGTACTCTGTCGATGCCCTTCGGGGGATGCAGACCGTGCCGACGGTGTTGGAGGAACCCGGGACGGGGCGCCGGCAGAGGGTGAGGATTGGCGGTGGCGGGGAGGATGTCGTGCTGAACTTTTATAGTCGACTGTTGGGAGATGAGTCTGTAAGTGCTGCTGTTTGTTGTTTGTGATGGCGTGAGACTGATGGGGTGGTAGAAGCGAGCTGGTAATGGGGTCGTGCACTTCGTTGATGATGTGCTTGTCCCGCCGCCGAGGTTCGATCGACTTGTTGATGTGTTGCCGGAGCGGTTGAGTGTGTTTTCGAGGGCGCTGAAGGAGACGGGCGTTGGCGAGGAGGCGGGTTTGGAGGGTCCGAGGGGTGTGACTGTGTTTGCACCGTCGGATGAGGCGTGGGATAAGCTTGGGGTTGAAGTCAAGAGCTTCTTGTTTGGAGAGCGGGGAGCAGGGTATTTGAGGGCTTTGGTGAGGTATCACATCATCGTGGATGAGATCCTGTACACGGACGTCAGGGTTGATCACATCAGGGAGTCTCGGCCGGGGAGGTATGAGACTTGGCTGGGGGCCGGTGTCTCTGTTCATGTTCACGGGATAGAGGGCCGGCGGGTGATGAAGGTGGAAGGGAAACAAGTCTCGGTGAGGGACTTACCTGCTAGGGATGGCGTTGTGCACGTGCTCGATGAGGTGTTGATTTCATCGACGACGGCTGATGGTGCTGAAAAGAGCGGCATGCTGGATGTTGAAGCGTTGAAGAGGCGCCTTGACCCTTGGGTAAAGACAAGTGGAGGGTTTGAGAGTGTTGAATTGTAGGCTGACACCAAGAGTTGGGTAACCAGTCATTTGGTTTAGTACGTCTCGTATCGAGGTTGTTTTTGTGAGCTAGGTTCTTCGTCAGTCTAGACAGCCATTGTCTGAGGTGCCTTCTTTCTGCAAACTATGATTGTGGAGTGCCTCAATGTTGAGAAAGACTCAAGCCATCCCAGGGAGTTTCACATTAGAGGAAAAAACAGTAAAAGCACCTCGGTCGGTGCCCAGTCCATTAGCTTCGAATCATGTAAAGTGCCTTTATAATAGCGAAAGTTTACCACAAGACATGTTCAGTATACACTTGAATGTGGTTTTCGGTACAGAGCTTGTGTGTCCGAAATCAAGGGCAGGACTGATCGCAAGACCAGCAGAGACAGAGAAACAGACAGCAGTACCACCAGATATAAGATTGTTATTGACAATATTAAGTCAGTAAGTAGTATGAACCTTCCGTTTCCGTGAATCATGGCTATTCCGGCTAGCCTAGTTACACACTGCTTAGAACCTCCGCATATGCAACTTAATTAGCGAAAGAATCGCCCCAAAGCCCTTGCCCCGAAGAAAGCCCTCCGGCCGGGCCTTGTGCAAAATGATCATCGTCGAACGTAAGCCGAAGGACGTCCGTCAAGTTACAATCAGACGAGGTGTTCGGTACGTCGCTGTCGGATGTATGCAACGCCTCGACAAACCTGTCGAGGCCATCATGCATCGCCCAGCCATAGCTCGAAACTTCAACCATATCTTCGTTCCACGCCGCCAACGTTCCCTCAAATGTATCATTCTCGGACTCAGAGAGCATCCCGGATGGCCTTTCCTGAGATGGAACGTCTGTGTGCACTGGATTTGGCTCCAAGCCCAGTGGAACATTGCCCACAGGCTCGTTGGGGGTGGCAAGCCCGATCGTTGTGTCTTCGGGAGATTCTTCTTGTGAATCTACGTCGGTAGGCAGGCAACCTGAGTTTTGGCCATCTCTTTCAATAGTTTCTGCTGTGTCCATTTCGTCCCTACTGGTCGAGCCTGTCTTTTCTGTGATCTGGCGTACTCTTTCGCTTGTGAAGTCTTTGAAAATACTTTTGACCTCTCGGCGTTGATCATCATCTAAACTCCCGCTGATAGCTTCTAGTTTCGAGAATAAACGCTCTTCCAGCTCGCGGGGGGCAGTATCAGCAAAGATATTTTCGATATCTTTCAGGTTTATGGATCTGCCTGAAGTAGTACGGTAGTCTAAAAGCAGTCAGTTTTATTCCAGAATTCAACCACGAAGATTTCATCGCTTGGGGAGGAGGATCAAGACTGACAGGGATCCGGGATGTTTCTGCAATCTGGGAACAAAATTCGGAAGATATTCCGCCACTTGTCCTCTTCTGTCCTCAAACTGGGCTGTCGTTTTTTGCTCCTCAATTGTTCTTCCTGGGTCGAGTTGAACCCTTCAATACAAATCTTTTGGGAAAGGTTGCATCCTTCTATCAAGCGAGAGTGGGCTTCCAAGCCGACCTTTGAGGCAAAGATTTCGCCGCAGCGTGTGCAGTGTGGTTTTTGGCGATGAACGCTATACAAATGCTGCCTGATGACTTTAGTCAGAAGAAATGTGCTACTATGCACTGAGAGTAGCTTACTTGAGTCTGTGAGTATCAGGAAAGGCCTTGGCGCGACACCTGAATAACTGCTCTTGCGTAGCATCGTCGCACTTGGTGTATGGGCATGCCAGATGAATACCGTCTTGTTTGTCTTTCTTGGGCTTGATCTTGGGCTTGATCTTGGGCTGCCAAAGAGCTGTTGAAGTACGATCGGAGCTCCGCTTGCCCCCCTTTTGCTTGTCTGTGGTGCCGCGAAACATAGCCGCGAGCATGCGGGATGGCATTTCATTGGTGTTTTCTCTTTTTGGACCTTCAGGCACTGGACGCCACTGTCCATGGATGTTCGGCTTGACCAAAGCCTCCGGATCGGGTAGACGTCGAACACAGACCTCTGTTTTGTCGGCTTCGTCTTCTGAATCGGGCAAGCTTATGGGATAGACCTCTATCTCGTATATTTCGTTTCCTGAGTCTGGCTCTGACAGTATGCAAGAACCTTTACCGAGAGATTTGGATACCGGCTGTGAAGAACTTAGAGCCGAATAGTAGCCTCTGCATCCCGAAGGTTGAGGTTTCTGCACAGAAAGGCTTTCGTCCAAAGTCGGTGTTGGTTTTGCCTTGGATCTTAGAGGTGCTGCTTGCGCGGTGTTTGGCTCCAAGGGCGGCGCTTGCCCATTCGTGAGGGTCGAACCGCTTCCGCTGACCACGCCATCTTTTTCTCCTATTGTCAAACCCGACAGACGAGACACAAACAAACTAGGATCCAGCGCTTCAGGTCTCCGTCGGTTTCCACGGCCACTACTGTCCTCGCGTATATCTGAAGCCGCCTTTTGCCGCCAAGTCCGATCGCCATTGTGTTGACTCCTCTTGACTTTGGTACCATCCGTAGACTTCGATGCAGTGCCGTGATGGCGGCTGTAGTCCTTCTTGATATTGCTTTTGTAGTGTTTCCTGGAGTCACTTCTGGAATCGGTATTCTCGCTATTCCAGCTGTCCGAGAAATTGGCCCGTTGGAATTGATGACCCATGGTTTGTATGAGCTTGTGACTATGTAAAGATGACTGGTCGAATGAAACGAGAGAAAGGGAGAAAAGGAGAAAAAGGCTGTATGGCTTGTCTCGTATAGTGGAGACTGTTTCTGTCCAAGGGAGGTATGTTGAGATGCTGATGAAGCTTCAGTTACAATACGCCTGTGGAAAGCTCAAACATTTATATCATTGAACTTCGTGAAGAAACGCACAAATTCGCGTTTCTTCCGATGAGCAGATCGGCACCCCTGGCTCGTTGCTGATGTCACAGGCGCGACTGGCCGGCCACTCAGACAGCGGAATTGCTATTAGGCACCAACAAGGCGGACAGTAGCAGCTGAACAACAGGTGGTTCGCCATGAGGCCAGAAAACGGTATTAGATCACAGATTGCTTAATTAACAAGGTCAGAGGAAGATAATTCCGTGACTATGCCACTAAGACAGTGGGCTAGAATGAGCCAACCGCAAGACTAGTGTTCTACACCGTGCAGCATAGAGATCTTCAATGCTTGGAGGTCGCAGAGTACTATTATGATCTTTTGCTGGCGCGGAGCCGTGATAAGATCTCAACTGAATTTCAACATTTTCATCGTCACCAAATAAGTCTATTGGCTCAGAATGGATGATTGGCGATGAGAGACGCAGTACCGGTGTTGACCATTCAGAATGAACGGAGCTGCATTTCCAGGTCAGCGCAGAAGTGACCCCTCCTGGGCGCGGCACTCCTGGTTGGCTGTCAAGTTGCATACTGCATCTTCTAGGGTCACAGTGACGACGAGGCAAAGAAGCGGGGATGCGGAGTAGCTTGACGAGAGCTCATCTGTCCAAGTACGCCGGATGGCCGGATAGATGAAGCATTATTGGGACATACTGGGAGGCCGTGCCGATCTAATCGTTTCTACCATCATGCATATCTCGTGTTCCTTATTGCTGTACGGCTTGTTGGTGTCGTACAAGACAGTTTCTGCCGCGGTACTTCTTAGCCATTCCGACCTTACCGATGGCATCGATACTCTGAACGATACTCTAGGCGGCCGCGTGCACAATGCCGAGCCCTTCGCCCTCGCTTGCTTCACCTCATTCGAAGGCGCCGTCAGGCTACGGAATGAATCACTCTGCGCGGAGCGCCAGGAGAATTACCACTCCCCGATCTACCGGAGCAACGTCCCTGCCGCCTACATGTACGAACAATCCACTATCTGCGCCTCCGACCCCCTATCGCAGGATCAGTGTGTTCTCAACACCTCGGACCCTCTCGATCCTGATGCATGGGATGGCGTCGGCTGTAGGCTGGGCAACTTGCCTTCATGGTGGCTCGAGGTGAGGGAAGCCGAGGACGTCGTCGAGGCGTTTGACTGGGCTCGCAAGACCGGTGGGAAGTTGTCCATTAAGAATAGTGGGCACAGTTTCGTATTGGACAGCAGCATGAAGGGATCTCTACTTCTCTGGACGCGAAATCTGCGTCAAGTGCGCCATGAACCTGACTTCATCCCGGAAGGGTGTCCCGACGAGCAGTCTTTCGACGTCATTACTACTGACGCTGGCGTCAGCTCCGCCGAGGCTTATGAGTTCGCGGACACAGTCGGCCGGACCATCCTCGGCGGATACTCACCGACCGTCGGGATATCCGGCGGCTGGGTCCAGGGCGCCGGTCACTCGGTGCTGTCAAACGTCTACGGTCTCGGTGTCGATCGTGTTATCCAGTTCACCGTCGTAACTCCTGACGGCTCCACGCG